AATCTCCCTCGATCTGGGGCTCCACGCAAGATTACACCCCGTGGGGTCAAAATGATCACAAGAATGGTGAGCAAAAATCCCAGAACCACACGGGGGGACCTAGTGAATGACCTGCAGAGAGCTGGGACCAAAGTAACAAAGCCTACCATCAGTAACACACTACGCCGCCAGGGACTCAAATCCTGCAGTGCCAGAAGTGTCCCCTTGCTTAAGCCAGTACATGTCCAGGCCCGTCTGAAGTTTGCTAGAGTGCATTTGGATAATCCAGAAGAGGATTGGGAGAATGTCATATGGTCAGATGAAACCAAAATAGAACTTTTAGGTAAAAACTCAACTCGTCGTGTTTGGAGGACAAAGAATGCTGAGTTGCACCATACCTACTGTGAAGCATGGGGGTGGAAACATCATGATTTGGGGCTGTTTTTCTGCAAAGGGACCAGGACGACTGATCCGTGTAAAGGAAAGAATGAATGGGGCCATGTATCGTGAGATTTTGAGTGAAAACCTCCTTCCATCAGCAAGGGCATTGAAGATGAAACGTGGCTGGGTCTTTCAGCATGACAATGATCCCAAACACACCGCCCGGGCAACGAAGGAGTGGTTTCGTAAGAAGCATTTCAAGGTCCTGGAGTGGCCTAGCCAGTCTCCAGATCTCAACCCCATAGAAAATCTTTGGAGGGAGTTGAAAGTCCGTGTTGCCCAGCGACAGCCCCAAAACATCACTGCTCTAGAGGAGATCTGCATGGAGAAATGGGCCAAAATACCAGCAACAGTGTGTGAAAACCTTGTGAAGACTTACAGAAAACGTTTGACCTGTGTCATTGCCAACAAAGGGTTTATAACAAAGTATTGAGAAACTTTTGTTATTGACCAAATACTTATTTTCCACCATAATTTGCAAATAAATTCATTAAAAATCCTACTATGTGATTTTCTGGAATTTTATTTCTCATTTTGTCTGTCATAGTTGACGTGTACCTATGATGAAAATTACAGGCCTCTCTCATCTTTTTAAGTGGGAGAACTTGCACAATTGGTGGCTGACTAAATACTTTTTTTCCCCACTGTACATGCCTGTCTGAAGTTTGCCAATGAACATCTGAATGATTCAGAGGAGAACTGGGTGGAAGTGTTTTGGTCAGATGAGACCAAAATCGAACTCTTTGGCATCACCTCAACTCGCCGTGTTTGGAGGAGGAGGAATGCTGCCTATGACCTCAAGAACACCATCCCCACCGTCAAACATGGAGGTGGAAACATTATGCTTTGGGGGGGGGGGGGTTCTGCTAAGGGGACAGGACAACTTCACCGCATCAAAGGGACGATGGACAGGGCCATGTACCGTCAAATCTTGGGTGAGAACCGCCTTCCTTCAGCCAGGGCATTGAAAATGGGTCGTGGTTGGGTATTCCAGCATGACAATGACCCAAAACACATGGCCAAGGCAACAAAGGAGTGGCTCAAGAAGAAGCACATTAAGGTCCTGGAGTGGCCTAGCCAGTCTCCAGACCTTAATCCCATAGAAAATCTGTGGAGGGAGCTGAAGGTTCGAGTTGCCAAACGTCAGCCTCGAAACCTTAATGACTTGGAGAAGATCTGCAAAGAGGAGTGGGACAAAATCCCTCCTGAGATGTGTGCAAACCTGGTGGCCAACTACAAGAAACGTCTGACCTCTGTGATTGCCAACAAGGGTTTTGCCACCAAGTACTAAGTCATGTTTTGCAGTGGGGTCAAATACTTATTTCCCTCATTAAAATGCAAATCAATTTATAACATTTTTGAGATTTTTTTGTTGTTATTCTGTCTCTCACTGTTCAAATAAACCTACCATAAAAATTATAGACTGATCATGTCTTTGTCAGTGGGCAAACGTACAAAATCAGCAGGGGATCAAATACTTTTTTCCCTCACTGTACCTAAGTAATAATGAGATACAACATACTGATTATTTACTTTGGGTGGCTGTTCCTTTGGAGGAATGATAGTTGGCCTTGGTGACTGAGTCTGTGCATTTCTGGTGAGGATGCCTATGGAATGGTTGGCATGTGCATATTGTGCATCTGCGTGGTTGCATGAGCGTTCTGCAACGGTGACAACGAGTTTGGGAGAGAACAGAGCCTTGTTGACGACGACACACTGGAATTAACCTCCACTGCCTTCTTCCCCCTACCCCGGAACACGGCACTCTTTCACTTCACTATTTATTTTATCTTCTCTTGCTCCCACTTACAGTTGAAGTGGGAAGTTTACATACACCTTAGCCAAATACATTTAAACTCAGTTTTTCACAATTCCTGACATTTAATACTAGTAAAAATTCCCTGTCTTAGGTCAGTTAGGATCACCACTTTATTTTAAGAATGTGAAATGTCAGAATAATGGTAGAGTGATTTATTTCCGCTTTTCTTTCTTTCATCACATTCCCAGTGGATCAGAAGTTTACATACACTCAATTAGTATTTGGTAGCATTGCCTTTAAATTGTTTAACTTGGGTCAAACGTTTCGGGTAGCCTTCCACAAGCTTCCCACAACAAGTTGGGTGAATTCTGGCCCATTCCTCCTGACAGAGCTGGTGTAACTGAGTCAGGTTTGTAGGCCTCCTTGCTCGCACACGCTTTTTCTGTTCTGCCCACAAATGTTCTATAGGATTGAGGTCAGGGCTTTGTGATGGCCACTCCAATACCTTGACTTTGTTGTCCTTAAGCCATTTTGCCACAACTTTGGAAGTATGCTTGGGGTCATTGTCCATTTGGAAGACCCATTTGCGACCAAACTTTAACTTCTGACTGATGTCTTGATGTTGCTTCAATGTATCCACATAATTTTCCTTCCTCATGATGCCATCTATTTTGTGAAGTGCACCAGTCCCTCCTGCAGCAAAGCAACCCCCACAGCATGATGCCTCCACCCCCGTGCTTCACGGTTGGGATGGTGTTCTTCGCCTTGCAAGCAACCCCATTTTTCCTCCAAACATAACGATGGTCATTATGGCCAAACAGTTCTATTTTTGTTTCATCAGACCAGAAGACATTTCTCCAAAAAGAAGATCTTTGTCCCCATGTGAAGTTGCAAACCGTAGTCTGGCTTTTTTATGGCGGTTTTGGAGCAGTGGCTTCTTCCTTGCTGAGCGGCCTTTCAGGTTATGTCGATATAGGACTCGTTTTACTGCGGATATAGATACTTTTGTACCTGTTTCCTCCAGCATCTTCACAAGGTCCTTTGCTGTTGTTCTGGGATTGATTTGCACTTTTCGCACCAAAGTACGTTCATCTCTAGGAGACAGAACGCGTCTCCTTCCTGAGCGGTATGACGGCTGCGTGTGTCCCATGGTGTTTATACTTGCATACTATTGTTTGTACAGATGAACGTGGTACCTTCAGGCGTTTGGAAATTGCTCCCAAGGATGAACCAGACTTGTGGAGGTGTACAATTATTTTTCTGAGGTCTTGGCTGATTTCTTTTAATTTTCCCATGATGTCAAGCAAAGAGGCACTGAGTTTGAAGGTAGGCCTTGAAATACATCCACAGGTACACCTCCAATTGACTCAAATGATGTCAATTAGCCTATCAGAAGCTTCTAAAGCCATGACATCATTTTCTGGAATTGTCCAAGCTGTTTAAAGGCACAGTCAACTTTGTGTATGTAAACTTCTGACCCACTGGAATTGTGAAATTGAAAAGTGAAATAATCTGTCTGTAAACAATTGTTGGGAAAAATTACTTGTGTCATGCACAAAGTAGATGTCCTAACCGACTTGCCATAACTATAGTTTGTTAACAAGAAATGTGTGGAGTGGTTGAAAAAACGAGTTTTAATGACTCCAACCTAAGTGTATGTAAACTTCTGACTTCAACTGTATATTTCACCCTCATCCCCCACTTACTCCCACTCTGCATGGCTTGCACGGACAGCAGTTCAGACCCACACACCCCCCTTGATGTGACTGTTCCATGACAGAGTATTGTGACTTGTGTTTCATATAAAGCCCCCTCCCCAAATACACACCTCAGTGTCTGAAACTAGCCTTCATGTTTTATGTCAAAAGGATAACGTGTTTGTCGAGTCGTTTCACTATGTGTCTTTGGGCTAATGTCAATGCCTTGTGATATGATGGGTAGTTCGTTTAGTACTACCGTTAATGCTATTTGGAACTGCTTCTACTCCACAATGGCCACCTTTTAATAAGTTACTGTAGCTACTCTCTGCACGGAGAGATACAAGGCAAGACTCCTGCCTTTTCTCATTCGACATACACTTGAGTTGAGTTTAGCCCTGAGACCAGAGTAGCCCCTGTCCATCTCATCTGTCTGTCCCTAGTCTGTGTCCATGCTGCATTCCCCAGATCGGCGCCACATTTTGAGTCGAGAGGGGGTTCACCCACTCCACATGACTTAATTGAAATAAATAGTCAATTCAATCCATTTACTTTCCAATCAACATTACACGTAATCACACTATCAATTGGTTCATCACAATATGCAGCCACCTTCAAATTGACATTTGACCCAAAAGTATCATCTTGTTAAAAAACAATTGTCTGAAGTGGAGTGTGGTGAGCCCTCCTCCCTGCTGTCCTGGGCTGTCTATCTGAGGAGAGGGCTGTCTATCTGAGGATAGGGCTGTCTATCTGAGGATAGGGCTGTTGTATGGGAAGTCTCCGCTCAGTATGCTGACCCCCTCTCCTCCATTTCCAGCACACCCTGACCATTCTACGGCAAACTGGGGGCCTGGGCATCAGCATAGCCGGAGGAAAGGGATCCACACCCTACAAGGGGGATGATGAGGTGAGGGCTGAGGACAGCTGTGGAGACTCCTAAATGTACAGATGGATTGCGTCCCAAATTCACTATATGGAATTTACTTTTTACCAGGGCCCTGGTCAAAATAGTACACTGCATAGGGAACAGTGTACTATTTGGGACGCATTCATATTCTGCGGACTGATTGGGACTGTGTACTAAAGTCTGTCTGTCCCTCCAGGGAATTTTCATCTCCAGGGTGTCTGAAGAGGGCCCTGCAGGCCAGGCTGGGGTCAAGGTGGGAGACAAACTCCTAGAGGTAAAAGTGTGTGCATACGCGTGTGTGATAAGCGTATGGGTGCCCATTCTTATGGCTGTTTGCAACCATGGTGCATTCATGGTCAAGGTCCATGAACATGCCTTTTGACTGTAGAGAGAACCATGAACCATGATCTCCGCTCCCTCCGTCTCTCTCAGGTGAACGGTGTGGCTCTCCAGGGGGCGGAGCACCACACGGCGGTAGAGGCCCTGCGCAGCTCAGGCGCTACCGTCTCCATGAGCATCCTCCGGGAGCACATGGTGGAGCCGGAGAACGCAATCACCACCACACCGCTGAGGCCCGAGGACGACTACTTCCCCCGGGAGAGACGGGCAAGCGGCCTTCCCTTTAGCATTGAGGCAGGCTCCCCCGCAGGCCCCCGACACAGGCTGTCTACCTGCCTGGTCCGCAACGACAAGGGTCTGGGCTTCAGCATTGCCGGGGGCAAAGGCTCCACAGCCTACCGCACAGGGGACATGGTGAGATTCACACACACATCCCTAGTGTGTACAGTAGACACTGAGATTCACACACGCATCCCTAGTGTGTGTATAGTAGACACAGGGAGACATACTGAGTTTCCATAACTAGGTCATGTGGTGGAGGAATATTGGGCGTTGTTCAGCACTGATGAATATTTCATCCTCCTGGTCTTAGCGGTGAAACACCTTTTGTATGCATGTCGTGTCAGGTTGTCCCACTTCTCAAGTCAACGACACGAGACCTCTAACTGCACTAGCTACAGCATTAGAGGGTGAGTTTAAGAGTCAGGATTCATGGATTTCCTACGTATTTCTGTATTATGCCGAGTCATAGTCGTCCCGTCGTCCCGTCCCCCACCCCTCTAAGGTTTCCTCATTCTGACAACCCCTTTTCCGGTTCCAATGTTTACAGCCATCACCAAGGAGATATGAATTGCGAGCCTTGACACCTGATAGGTCCTGTGAAACTGGGATGGGAGGGGCCAGGGGGTATTTTTGGGCCACTGCATTGGCTACATGTCCTGTACAAATACCGCTCTCAAAAACACACACACACAGCTCGGGGAGTCCGCTGAGAGAAACCGAGATGCACACTTATCGCTAGAGTCTTCTTGTGCCTTTTTCTAGAATGGATGGTATCTCTGTTGAGATGGGCTAGGAGTAGGCCTGCACTTTGTCTGCACTTGTGCATGATAGTTTGGAATTTAGGAGTTGAACCATAAATACAACAGTGGAGACTGCTAAGGGGAAGACGGCTCATAATAATGTCTGGAATGGCATCAAACACATGGAAACCATGCATTTGATGTATCTGATACCATTCCACTTATTCCACTCCAGCCATTACCAGCCTCCCTAATTAACATTTTACATTTACATTTTAGTCATTTAGCAGACGCTCTTATCCAGAGCGACTTACAGTTAGTGAGTGCATACATTATTTTTTAATTTTTCATACTGGCCCCCCGTGAGAATCGAACCAACAACCCTGGCGTTGCAAACGCCATGCTCTACCAACTGAGCTACATCCCTGCCGGCCATTCCCTCCCCTACCCTGGACGACGCTGGGCCAATTGTGCGCCGCCCCATGGGATTCGAACCTGGATCTCTAGTGGCACAGCTAGCACTGCAATGCAGTGCCTTAGACCACTGCGCCACTCGGGAGAGGTGCCACAACCTCCTGTGAAGTCCAATGAGTTGTTTGGGCATCCTTGTAGCTTGTGACTCCTCTTTAGGTAAAGAGACTGGAGGGCTCAGGGACTTAGTGTGAGACTGTGGTGATTCTGTGGTCCTAATCTATAGCATCAGCGTTTTCTGAACCTTATTTGACTACATTAGGATATAATTATTACCATTGACCAAATATCCTTAGTTTATTTGGTAGTGCAGTGTATTAAAAGGCATTACGTCCCATGCCAGCTCATTTAGTTAAGTTATTCTTGTGCTGAGATCCTGCCACAGAAATACTTCTTAACAAGCCCAAGCAAACAATTGAGGGCAGCGTTAGACCATGGACTGAAATAAGAATGCTAGACTATATTTAGTCCAGGCTGTGTGAGGTCATCATTAATGGACATCCCCTGCTCCCCTGACTGGCAGTGATTTAACTAGCAGGAGGCATTGCAGCCCTGTTGCACCAGACTAAAGCCGTCCGCATGCTTCCCAGACTAAACAGTTCGGTAGAGTTTGTGCATATATTATGACATTTTGTGATGTTCTTTTGTTCGTTTTGGATTTCAGCAAGGGTTTTTTCGGTTGTTCGGGCATAGAAAAAAATAATATTGGGGAAAGCCGAAGTCGATAGCCGAAGTCTACGCCCCTTCGTCGGCGATTGGTCAACAGTAGGGATTCTTCAATAAAGTATTTGTTGTCATTCAACGAGAGACGACTCGTTTTCATGCAAACATTTTCGTATTAAAAATACTGCACCAAACATCTTAGTTAGAAAATTAATGACAGATTTCTTGAGGTATGGCGTCTCAAAATAGACAAACAGAACTATTGCTGCTTTTTTCTCGTTTTTCAGGCGAAGGTCTTTAAAAGGAGTATGCGAGCACACTCGTTCAGTTCGCCTAGCTGTGTTCGGCTAGGAGCCAGCCGAACTGAAGCATGCTGACGTTTTAACCCACCACCCACTACCCCCTGGGTAACTGCGTTCACAGCTAGCAGACATGTCACTGTATATCAGTGGGAACCAACCTTTTGAGTCAAGATCACTTTCACAGCCAAAAATCAAGCCAAGCTCTACCGCTCAGAATGACATACCCAAATCGAACTGCCTGTAGTTCAGGACCTGAAGCAAGGATATGCATATTCTTGGTACTATTTGAAAGGAAACACTTTGAAGTTTGTGGAAATGTGAAATTAATGTAGGAGAACATAACACAATAGATCTGGTAAAAGATAAAACAAACAAAAAGACATAAGTTTTCTATTTTTATTTTTGTTGCATCATCTTTGACATGAAAAAGCCATACATTCAGATAGGAAGCTGGAGGTAATTTAGATGTGGTCTACAAGAGGGCAACAGTGTATGTGCAAAGTTTGACTTATACCTTCAAGAATGAGGGGGCTACATAACATTTAGTATGAAGTCAACCAGGTGTCCCTCACCAGTTTGCCCAAACGTACCCAAATGGCCTCCAAGTGGCTGAATTGGTAAATTGATACATTTTCATTTTCAAGCACATAACTATAGAGAACATACAAAATGCTATGGTAATAAAAAATACAAGTTTACACACTCCCATGAATGTAATATATGATGGATCATTAGCCCCCCTACATAAGACACTAACATTCACACATCTAGATGGCCGGGCGGGGTGGGTGTGCTGCCATAGACAGCAGCAGGGGGTCTGACTGAATGAACCAGTTTCTACTAGAGGACTTGAATGTGGTCTCTTTGGTGTTGGCACCCAGAGGTCATCTGAGTCAGAGTCTCTAGCACTATAGAAGATTTTTAAAAATTCAGTAAGAACTCAAGTTTACTATTATTTTATTGAACCTTTATTTTAGCAGGGGGTGAGCCTGCATCAATTATATTAGCAGGGGGGTGAGCCCTAGCCAATGTGTATTTTATGTTGACTGTGGTTTTCGAGTGCCCTATTTACTATTGGTAAACATATTTCATTATAGTGATTTTATATATATATATATATATATATATATATATATATATATATATATATATATATATATATATATATATATATATATAGCAATCAAATAAAAATCTCAAATGAATAATATGCAACCATTTAAACAACTGCATGAGAAGAAAGTATTTTACTTAGCAGTCTAAAGTTACGTCTTTCCCATCCAAAAGAAATCAGCGTGAGTCTACAGTGTAATCACTAACTGAGTCCTCATCAATTTCTATGTTTCTTTCCCTGCAATAATATCATCCAAATCTGTATACTTGGTCTTCGATTGAGCTTTCCCTGTTTTATTAGCCATGTTCTACTTTTCTAAAATAGCAATAAACTTGGTAGAACTGAGCGTGCGTGCATAATACGAGTCCTCTTTGTTCTGTCGATTTTATCTGCCCGATGTATGTTGTTGCGCGCGAGCTCAGCACAATGGCTTTTACTCAGAGAAAGGACCATCACATACTCCTGTAAAGCCCAGCTCATTGGCTATCTAGTTAGCTATGTTTCAAAACGACAGGTGGTCATTGGACTAAGATACAGTCAATCAAGTGAACACCGCCCATCTCATTAGTGCATAATCATGTCAATCCTTGGTGGGCTAATATACCTTTTGTTTAGCCAATGTGTCATGCAGAATCATGAAACGAGTTCGGTCGCCTTATAGAGTATCTGAGGACTGCAGAAAAACCGAACTTGACTGGGTGAAACAAGGTGTAGCGTTTATATTACGTTTAAATGTTTAAAAATGAAATGCCAAGAGTGTGTGCAAAGCTGTCATCAAGGCAAATGGTGGCTATTTGAAGAATCTCAAATATAAAATATATTTTTATTTGTTAAACACTATTTTGGTTACTACATGATTCCATATGTGTTATTTCATAGTTTTGATGTCTTCACTATTATTCTACAATGTAAAAAATAGTACAAAATAAAGAAAAACCCTTGAATGAGTAGGTGTGTCCAAACTTTTGACTGGTAGTGTATTTCCACTTTGACATTATGGGGTATTGTGTTTGGCCAGTGACAAAAAAATCTCAATTGAATCCGTTTTAAATTCAGATTGTAACACAACAAAATGTGTAAAGAGTCAAGGGGTGTGAATCATTTCTGAAGGCTTGAATCTCAATTTCATGCACTCATATTAGACATTCATTAGAACCAAGATGATGTGCACGGTCATTGGCATGCATCCCAAATGCCACCCTATTCCCTACATAGTGCACTACTTTTTACCAGAGCTGTACTATATAGGGAATAGGCTGCCATTTAGGACACAGACATGATGACATTATGAACCGTCTTCTGACTCCTGTGCCACGTGTCTGTCTGTCTCTGCAGGGGATCTACATCTCGCGGATCGCAGAGGGAGGGGCGGCCCACAGAGACCGCACGCTCCGAATAGGGGACAGGGTCATCACCGTGAGTACCCCTCCACTCCTGTTTTAGCCCCATGGAAACATCCCAAATGGCACCCTATCCCTTTTGACCAGTGCACTTTATAGGGAATAGGTTGCTAATTGGTACACCGCCCATGTTCTTCTCTCGCTCTGTGAACTTCATGCCAAACACACCAACCAAGCACACACACGTTAGATAGTGTGGTGAGTGATCTCATCCTCAGACTCACAATATGGTCGCCACCCGTTGACTACTCCCAAATCAAACACAATTACATTCACCGGACAGTTTATTAGGTACACCCATCTAGTACCGGGTCGGACCCCCCTTTACCTCCAGAACAGTTTCTGCAGATTAAACGGGCTGCGAACAGCCTGTTCCATCTCATCCCAAAGATGCTCTATTGGGTTGAGATCTGGGGACTGCACAGGCCACTCAAGTAAACTGAACTCGCTGTCATGTTCCAGGCAGTGTTTTCCACTCCTCTTTTGTCTAGTGTTGGTGATGGCGTGCCCACTAGAGCCGCTTCTTCTTGTTTGTAGCTGATAGGAGTGGAACCTGGTGTGGTCGTCTGCTGCAATAGCCCATCCGTGGCTACAGATTGACAGGTTGTGCGTTCCAAGATGCCGTTCTGCACACCACTGTTGTACTGCGCCGTTATTTGTCTGTTTGTGGCCCGCCTGTTAGCTTGCACAATTTTTGCCATTCTCCTTCGACCTCTCATCAACGAGCTGTTTCCGCCCACAGGACTGCCGCTGACTAGATTTTTTTTGTTTGTCACACCATTCTCTGTAAACCCTAGACCAGGGTTCCCCAACTGCCGAATCTGGCCCACGGGTGCTTTGATTTGGCCACAAAGTTCTCTGAGCAAAGAAATGTATTATAAAATAAATGTTTTATTTTATTTTCATTGTTGGACATAAGACTGTAGAAACACCAGGAAATCAGCTCCAAGTTATTTTTTATTTTGGAAATCTGTTCCCAAGGATTCCCAAGCATTATAGAGAGTTCGTATACAAATGTAAGCAAGGTTTGAAATGATTATGTTTTAGCCAAATATTATATCTGTCTGGGCTTCTTGCGGTCAATTTGCAGTCTACAAATTATTTGTAATTATGTTCCGGCCCCCCGACCATCCGCTCAAGAAAAAATCGGCCCATGGCTGAATCTAGTTGATGGTCCCTGCACTAGACACTGTTGTGCATGTCTGAGATACTGGATATGGTGCGCCAGTCACCGACGATCATACCACGCTGAAAGTCACTTAGGTCACTCATTTTGTCCATTCTAACGTTCAATCAAACAGGATGCCTGTCTGCCTGCTTTATATAGCAAGCCACGGCCACGTAACTCTGTCTGTAGGAGCGATCCGTTTTCGTGAAAGGGGGGGGGTGTGTACCTAATAAACTGTGTATATGACAACCATATATGAAAACTAACTTGCACTAACACTCATCCCACTTGAGAGAATGGGCCTCTGCTTGTCCTGTGCTGCTGCTGCCAGCCCATCTAGTGTGCGTCTCAAATAGCACCCTTTTCCCTATGTAGTGCCCTATGAGCTCTGGTCCTGGTCAAAAGTAGTGCACTATGGCCTCTCGAGTGGCACAGCGGTCTAAGGTACTGCATCGCAGTGCTAGAGGTGTCACTACAGACCCGGGTTCGATCCCGAGCTGTATCACAACTGGCCGTGATCGGGAGTCCCATAGGGCGGCACACAATTGGCCCAGCGTCGTCCGGGTTAGCTCATCGTGCTCTAGCGTCTCCTTGTGGCGGGGCGGGCGCCTGTAGGCTGACCTCAGTCGTCAGGTGAACAGTGTTTCCTCCGACCCATTGGTGCGGCTGGCTTCCAGGTTAAGCGGGCGGGTGTTAAGCGCGGTTTGGCGGGTCATGTTTCAGAGGACACATGACTCGACCTTCGCCTCTCGAGCCCGTTGGGGAGTTGCAGCGATGAGACAAGATTGGGGAGAAAAAGTGGGTAAAATAAATAAATAAGGAGTGCGCTATGCAGGGAAAAGGGTGCCCTTTGGGACGCAGCCCTAGACTAACATGACTGACTGCTGGAGTCAAGGTTCCTGCACGGTTCTTCATTGTGCCTCTCTTTACTGTGGTTATCATAGTGTTTTTATAGACCTTACCTGCTGACAAAGTGCTGATTCAGAGTTGCACCCCATGCTCATATCCTTGACCATGGCTGCAAAGGTAGGGCCTTGATATGATTGCTCAATAGGCTTTTTATTTTTATTTATTTTTACCAATCCAGTGATTAATTCTATCTTGAGACATTCGTTAACCCCTTAGTTACATTTGTGTGCAGTGTGAAATAGTGTCCTCTTGTGTGTCTACAACTACTCCTGTCTTGTTCTCTCATTCTCTGTTCTGAGTCATAACCGTTTCTCTCTCTCTTGCATCTTCCCCGTCCTCCTAGGTGAGGGAAATCATAGAATGTCTTCCTGAATGATTCTGTTCCAACTTGGTCTCTCAGCTTCTCTCTTGCGCTTTCATTCTCTCTCCTCTCCCTCGCTCTCTCATTCTCTCTCCTCTCCCTCGCTCTCTCATTCTCTCTCCTCTCCCTCGCTCTCTCATTCTCTCTCCTATCCCTCGCTCTCTCATTCTCTCTCTCTCTCTCTCTCTGTGAACCTGCTCTCTCCCTCTCTCTGCATGGCAACTAATGCTCAATGCGTCTCCTTGCCTGCTCGGTGGTGGTGGGTGTGGTGTTGGAGGGTAGGGGTGGGCGGAGCCTCTGTGGTAACCGCATGTATTACCATAGCCGCAGTAAGCTTATCAGCCAATGGTAAGAGCCGGTACTGTATGGTCAGTGCTGGCTTCTGTTTGTCTCTCGGACCAGAGGACCAATCACATAGCCCGTTTTTTGTCCCTCACTCCTCAGAGGAATCAGGACCTCGTTCTACATTTTAGGAACGTTTACAGACTGCAGTCCATCCTCAAATGCCCTCTGTAAAGTAATAGAATAGTTTACAATTTGTAAAGGACAGGAGCTAGGTATAGGAGCAGCGCTTAGGCTGAAAGTATTGACAACTCTGTTTGCTGGCTCAAGATCAGCCCCTTCTTTGGCAGTCATCATATGTCGTTGCGCTCTGTATTTTCAGTGCACAATCGCAAACGGATAGCATAAACATAAGTCAGATTGGCCAACGTCCTAAATACAGTTTATTGCATTGACAGGACTTTTAGGACTACTTTGAAGACTTTGAGATTGTAACATCGGAGAAAGGCTTAACCTACAGAAGTTCCCAGAAGAAGCTTCTTGCTAGCTTGCCCTCCAATCCTCCCTCTCATCTCCTCCTGCCTCCCTTCCTCTGTATGGGTATTGGCTCCTGGTGTCTTCAGATATCTCTTTCTTTATCTCTCTCTCACTCTCTCACTGGCCTACTTTGTTGCTGTACATCTCAATGTACTAAACTGTCTCAATCAATGCTCAATAATTTTATTATAGTAATAATATACAGCTTTATGGCAACATGTGATGTGCGTCTACACAATAATGATATGAGTCTTAACCAGGGGTTTGAACCGAAATTATTTTCCAATCGTTTTGTTCTGAACAGAACCATTATCTATTTAATTTCGTTGCACTGTTCCGACCAGCAAAATAAAGTTATGAACCGGTTCGAACTAAGATGTATGGTTAAATCGTCCCTTTCTGTTCGTTTTTAAGCTTAATTACTTCATCAATGGATAGAGCAGCTTGCTATGGAGCGGGAAAGCTATGTACATGCATTGGACAGACAAGTGTAGTGTAGGGTGCGACTTGCAACAGACATTTTGAGGATGAGGAGAGCGCTGGGCATGAAGCGCTGGGCATCTTGTTGTTATGACATGCATTATCTGAATTAGGCCCACAGAATTATATCTACGGGGGAGCGGCTTCTATGAAGGAATTTTGAATGTCTTTGAACTTCAGAGAGTTGGCTTAATGTTGGACCAGAGCGAGCCCTTGATCATGACTCTCATTACATTACACATAATACTGCCTAGAGTTTTCGAAAGCTAGACCAGAGCTAGCTAACAAGCTAGCTGGCTAACAAGCTTGTGTGTGCAGAGCGACTCCAAAATGAAAATGAAAACACGTCTTGTGAAACTTGATAACTATAGTATCCTTAACTAGCATAGAAAATGTTAATCCATTGTTCTCTAATTAAAAAGCTCTCCCTGATTTATGAATCACGCCTGTAACATCAGTAGCTACAGTAGACTATGCATGCTTCAGAGGGACGGGGAGTGGCAGGTAGCCTACACACGGGCGAAGATTTTCAGCTGGCAGGCAGGCAGACATTGAAATACGTTTCTGAGTGACAGTGAGGTTTTTTTAGACTGGGAAATATGCCTGGAAAGTCAAATAAAGTTATTAACCGGTTCCCGTGCTTTTAAAAAAGCAGTTCTGTTCCGGACCAGTATACATCACTTTCATTCTTGGTTCTGGTTCTGTTCCTCAAAAAATGTCAGTATTTTCCGGTTTTCGTTTCTGTTCCCTGGACCGGTTCCAACCCACGAACACATAGCTGTCTGCCCTCACTGAACCTCTAGTCCTGAGTGTCGCACACTGTGGTTAGTCAGTTAGCCTACTGACGCCCGCCCTCATTGGTTGTGCCTTTCGATCCAGATCAATGGTGTAGACATGACAGAGGCCAGGCATGACCAGGCAGTAGCGCTGCTTACCGGCACCTCTCCCACCATCGCTCTCCTGGTGGAGCGTGACCAGGCCGAGCCGGGCACCGCAGGGGGCTCCCCGGGCCTGTCCCGCGCCCGCGCCCACTCCCCCCCACCTCCAGAGCCCTCTGACTCGCCCGACCAGGAAGAGGGCAATGACGACTCGAGCCTCTTGCCCCACGGGAACCACCTCAGCCAGCCGCTGGAGGACGAATACCCCATCGAGGTGAGACGAAGGAGGGAAGGAAGTGGGTGGAAAAATGCTTTAGTACTATGTGATGGGGATAGTGGTAAGTTACCATGATGGAGCATTCAAGCTTCAGATTTCCTTTAGTTTTAATGCCTTTACATTTGGCCTTAATCTCAAATGCTCTACAGCTCAAGAAAATATGGTGCACGGTACGAATGCTTAGTCCTAACCTAGGTTTATTATGCTAGGATGGTGTAATGGGGCCCAGTGAAATGCAGCATTCACTGAGTGAATAATGCCAAGCCCTAGAGTCTGTTCCATTGGCTAAGAGCTTAGGCCTATGTCTAGTCTCATACCTGTCTACAAGTAGATATAGTAGATCCATGGATAGTTTGTGTTCCTTGTCTAATAGAAGAGTTAAAGATGTATTTGGTATTTGTCTGTTGGGACACTGATGTTTTCCTGAATTCCTCTCATGTCTCCTGATACTGTATTTGTAGAGCCCCTATCCTAGAACCATGTCCCTCAATTAAAACTTTGCAGACAACCCTGTTTACGTTAGTCGCTTCACTTCCTCTCCTGACAGGAAGTGGCGTTGGTGAAAGCGGGCGGCCCCCTGGGACTGAGCATCGTGGGAGGCAGTGATCACGCCAGTCACCCGTTCGGCATCAACGAGCCTGGTGTCTTCATCTCTAAGGTTTCTCTCTTGCGCTCTCTCTCTCTCAATTCAAAATGCTTTCTCTCTCTGTCGCTCTCTTTCTCTCTCTGTCGCGCTCTCTTTCTCTCTCTGTCTCGCTCTCTCCCTCTCATTTTCCCGGGTTTGTGTATCTCACCCACCATGCCTGCCTGTGCTAGGTGATCCCCCATGGCTTGGCATGTCAGAGTGGGCTGCGGGTGGGGGACAGGATACTGGAGGTGAACACCATCGACCTGCGCCACGCCACCCACCAGGAGGCTGTTAGAGCCCTGCTCTCCAACAAGCAGGAGATCCGCATGCTGGTGCGCAGGGACCCCTCACCGCCTGGGATGGAGGTGATGTCTCTTAAACCCACATGTACAGTTGACACGCATACACACACACACAGCTTCTGTCCCTACACACACACACACACACCAACCAGTCCCATCTCCTGATCTATGTGTCCCAATACAGGATATAGTTATCCAGAAGCAGCCTGGAGAAAAGCTGGGCATCAGCATCCGCGGCGGTGCCAAGGGCCACGCTGGCAACCCCTTCGACGCCACCGATGAGGGCATCTTCATATCCAAGGTACCTGGACCCACCTTGTCCTTCTAGCCCCAGACTCTGTCTCTGCCACTCCCACCTCACCCTTCAACGGGTTCTCCTTGGAATACGGTCAATGATTGACCTCCTTTGATATATTGACTCCTGTTAACCCCCCCATCCCTGCATCACCCCCTGTAGGTAAGCTCCAGCGGTGCGGCTGCCAGGGATGGCCGTCTGCTAGTGGGCATGCGGATCTTGGAGGTGAGCAACCACAGCCTGCTGGGCATGACCCACACGGAGGCTGTACGGGTGCTCCGCGCCGTGGGAGACACCCTGGTCATTCTGGTGTGTGACGGCTTCGACCCTGGCAACGCTGCCGCTATAGAGGTGAGGGGAAACTGATTAACATCCATTCCGAGTTGAAATTACCCTTAGATACATAGTCAGATCCAAAACGGATGCCATGTTAATTATGCGTCATTGTTTCATCTCAGGCGTCGCCGGGCATCATTGCCAACCCGTTTGCAGCGGGCATCGTGCGTAAGAACAGCATGGAGAGCATCTCCTCTATAGACCGAGACCTGAGTCCTGAGGAGATGGACATCCTACAGAAGGTGAGAATAATATGACGCAGAAAGCCAGTGTGAGGGTCTGCCCTCAGGCTACAATGGATGGTGGCCGGTGTGTGGGAGAACAACATTTCTGTAGAATTACATTGGTACTCGCACTCAACCCAAGGAGGCCAAGATGCTAATTTCATTTAATCCATGCTCGAAAGAATAACAAAATCTGCTAGTGCAAAAGTGAGAAAAGGGACAAACAACAAAAAAGAAGCATACGTTTCAACTACACACTCACACACACACACACACATACTAAACACAGGGGAAAACATAGTGGATGACTTTTAATATGAAACATTTTGATGTAAAATCTATTTTCTAGGAGGTGGTGCGAGAGACGTCCCAGTGGGAGAGCGAAGAGATGGAGGAGGTGGTGAGTGAGACTATGTAGCCAAGTCCTACCTCGCATGCTTTTTCTGCTACTGTGGCAAATCAACAGAGCCCTTTTCTAATGTGTGTGGGTTCTATCCTCTCTCTCCCTTTCTATCTCTTTTCTTTTACCTTTTCTCTGCCCCCCCCCCCCCCCCCCCCCCCCCCCACCTCCCTCCCTTCCCTCATAATGTGTCTGGGTCATCCATACACCACTCCATCTCCACTCACCCCACCTCCACTGAATTCCTCCATCTTGTTTGTCTTTTTGCCCATTTCACTTTACATTTCACCTACACTCATTTTATCCCCTATTCTCCATTATTATTTGTGTGGCTGGGTGTCCTCCCTTCTTTCCTCCCCTCCTCCACCCCCGTCTCTCTGTGAAGGAGCGCATGCGCTTGGAGCGTGAGGAGGATACTCGCCTGCTAGAAGAGGAGACCGAGGTGAGACTGATCCCTCCCAGCTCAACCAACCGCCTCCCTATCAGAGAAGCGGACATCTCCAGTCCAGAGGATTTTACTATAACATCTGAAATGTTCTGCAACCTGTTGTGCTTCAATGCATATTTATGTAATGATCAAGTGGCCTCCTAACAGAGTGAGACATGAGAGTAGTATGAGAGGGAAGTAGTTTTCTCCAGTATGTCTGACACTCGACCCTCTTCCTCTTTCCCTCAGAACCTGGGCACTGGGCCTCTGAAACTGGACTACCGGACACTGGCCGCACTGCCCACCACCGCTCTGCAGAAGGTCAACAGAGTAAGTTAGAAATAAAGGAATGATTTTACTTGAAAGGTAACACAACCCCCATTGATGATTATGGTGAAATGATGTGAGGTAACTCTTATACTAGACCTCTTATAAGACCTGTGAACCCTGACTAAGGCTGTGAAATGCCTGGAATTGTCTGCTGACTATCTTGGAAATTGTCCCTTTGGGCCCAGAATAGACCTCTCTGTGGAATCCGCCCTGTTTATCTCCCGGGAAGCCCTCTGTGACCGGAGGCCAAGCAGGTGCCTCTTGAGGCCAGGGGGAGAATGTGACCCCCCCCCCCCCCCCCCCCCCCATGTTCACAACCCTGACTCCTGCCTTCCTCACCAACGCCTTGGGCCTCCTCCTGTCTAGCCAAGGCCAGACCCAAAGAATAGATTGCCTCTACAATGGAATGGAACCATTCCGTTCACTTCTGTGATATGATGAGATGCCACATTCCAAAACAAGATCCATTTGTATCATCAATGGAGATGATGACTGTTGCACGCCATGTTAATGGATCGTCTACCTTGGCTTGAAGACGTCGCTTAAACAAGAAGAAATCTAGAGACGAATCGAAGGGTGAGTACACAAATAAAAACTAGAGGCTGCACAGGAGGACCCTTTCACATCATTAGCTGGAATGCTGGATGGAGGGAAATGGACCGATAAAGAAGAGAAATGATGCCGCCAAAATGGTTGGTAGCTGTTACAGCTGCCCCCATCACCACCCGGCCTCTGCTCAGGGGGTTATTTTACACTCAGGATAGGAAGGGAGTGGGAGGGGTGCAGACGAGAGGGAGGGGAGAGTGTCCCAATGTGTGGGCTCTCAGTCAGTCAGTCAGTCAGTCAGTCAGCCAGTGCCCCTGGAAGAGTTTGATTTGAGTAGAGCTACTGCACCCCTGGTCCCAACAGCCTACAGTGAGTATAGGGACAACTGGGCTGGGCTCTTCTGTGTCTTACTCTCTGTCATCTTATCTATGTATTCAAATACATGGAAACACTTTCTACCGTCATTGTGTCCATTCTGTATTGTAGCTACATGTGTGAACGGCAGCCATTTTTGCTAAAGATGTAAATGACTAAGGATTTATGAGCTGACACAAGGGGCTGACTTGGGCCGCTCTCATACCTGTCACCATTTTAGGGTCTTGCGTAGATAAATGTATAGGCGAGGCTACAAATTGTGTCAATATTGCCTGTTTTTTCCCTAGCTTAGTTTGTAGTAGGGATCTTTATTGTATTTTGAGGTGTTAGTGTTCTGTTAGCTATTTATTGAATCTTAATGCAACAGTGGTTAGTCTTATAAGCTCTAGTACTAAGCCATGGGGTTTTTCTGGGAGCGCTTAACCTATATATCACCTGCAGCTGTTCTTGCATTATGGCTATGCATTAGAGTTGGAAGGAGGACCACTGGGTTCCATGACAACTGTACCCAGGAAGATTATCAGTGGGTCTTGTCATGACTCCCTTAGATGTTTTCCTGTCGAAAGAGGGGTTGGATCTTAATCTTAATCCCTGTCTATAGGGTTTTTAAAAGTATTGTAATGTTTATTTGAGATATTCTGACAGCTGAAGTTTATTAATGTTATGGTATGTATCATAGTATCTAAGGTATGTAGCTAGTCATATGATGAAACATGCTTCTTGGTATGAGAAGTGAGGGGTAAGCAGGGGTGTGTCGTGATGAACCACACTTGGCTCCAGCCTTTACCTAGGCCGGCTGGGTAAAGCTAGTCTCAACTTGTTGGTATGTTGATCGTCTTTCCCGCACCTCCCCTCCTCCCTCAGGCACCCAGCCCTAGCCCAGCTGTCCTCTGCCAAAAGGGTACTGGCTCACATACCACCCCACCAGGGTTACCGTAAGCCAGTAATTGACTGCTTTAAAAATAATAATTGAAAAGCCGAGAAATAAAATTGACAGGGAGAAAAAAACAATCCCATTTCAAAATAATGCTTTTTATTCATTGATGGAACTATCAGTCGATGGAAATACATTTGACAGTCATGCTTATCGACCTATAGGTTAATTAGCAACGTGTTTTGGAATTAAATTGGGCCATGTGTATTTTAGTTATTTATCGCACGCGCACATCATACAGAGCCTATTTTGAGGGGAATATGACTTGTCAGACAGCGTTAGAGCTGCTGGAGAGAAACGTGCTGATGCCCAGTCATTGCGCAACAATTGTAAATGCTATTGCGTGTTAAAAACAGAGCTACTATATACTTCTTCTCAACTGGTAATTGAAGCACACCTCCCATTCACCCTACAAGTTTATAGGCAACGATAGGCAGGCTATCAGCGTGTCCCCCACCACTTTACAATGTGGGCTGGAGGCAGTATGCATTTTGAAAACATATATACTTCATTGTTTAAAACCTGAACATTTTACTTTATATTATGAGGCATGTCTTGCCTTGCTTCAAAGTAGCTTAGGCAAAATCCGACCATAGAAATGTGGATGCAATTATTTTATAAAGACTTCCTCATATGCCATTGAAACCAGCATTTCCCTCCTGTACTATTGGTTTTCATATCGACTTTCTTTTGTTGTCCAGAAGCCAAAGGCACAATCCTAGTCATATTAGCAAGCCATCCTCGTTGTTGCATCTTTAGATTCCCCTGCTTTCTAAGTTTCTAACAGAGATTTTCATCTCTGTCACATATGAAAACCGCTCGCATCAGGTGCACTGTTTTAGAATGGTGTTTTCCCGCTAATTGCTTTTTGGCAAGTGTTTGTTTGAAAATGAAGTTTTATTGGCTGCTTCATTACAGGAGTTGCATGTTCTGTTAAGATGAATGACCATCATCTAAATGTGATTTCTGTCATTCTGAGCACCTAGGGTGGACGCCCTAATGAGTTACGCACCCAATGCATATGGGTCTGGTAGATTTCTCAAATGGCCGGTAAATTAAAATCTTCCCGGTCATGTTGTCAGGCGATACATTTTCCTAATGGAAACCCTGCGCCCCCACTGACCTCTGTATATTATAGGCCGCATTTACCCCTTTTCTCCCCAATTTCGTGATATCCAATTGTCCCATCGCTCCAATTCCCGTAATGACTCGGGAGAGGCGAAGGTCGAGAGCCATGCGTCCTCCGAAACACGACCCTGCCAAGCCGCACTGCTTCTTGACACACTGTTCGCTTAACCCGGAAGCCAGCCGCACCAATGTGTCGGAGGAAACGCTGTACAACTGGCGACCGTGTCAGTGTGCATGCGCCCGGCCCGCCACAGGAGTCGCTAGAGCGCGATGGGACATCCCGGCCGGCCAAACCCTCCCCTAACCTGGACGACGCTGGTCCAATTGTGCGCCTCCTCATGGGTCTCCCGGTCGCGGCCGGCTGCGACACAGCCCAGGATTGAACCCAGATCTGTAGTGATGCCTCAAGCACTGTGATGCAGTGCCTTAGAAAGCTGCGCCACTCGGGAAGCGACTGCATGTATTCTTAGTGACACTATTTGGATTGTCATGACATGTCAAGGCCATGTCTTGGAATGCACGGGCAGTGTAGAACAATGTAGTTCTGAAGACACTAACCCTCATCCCACTTTAAGCCCTGGCATTTTTGGCACATTTGAGTTGAAATCCATCCTGGTCCCAGTGGAACGCTCTCTGTGACTCCATCTTCTGCTGTGTCACTTGGTTGAAGAATATTTGTTTTACTGCATCATGAAGTTAGTTTCTGATCTGGCCAGCCAGAGTGTGAAGTGGGTCTGTGTCTATTTTAGCTCTTCTCCACACAGCTCCCTAGTTCTCTCTCATGTATTTATCTGTCTCCATCTTCTTGTCCTCCAGTATGTCCCTCATTTCTTAACGTGTAGCGATCTGTCTCCATCTCTTTATGTTTTTTTGTTCCTCAGTTCAGATTTGAGATTTCCTATGCCTTTCTCTCTCTCTCATCATTTCAGTCCCCTTTATCTTTCTCTCTCACTCTCTTTTTCTCTCTCGCTCCTTCTCAGTTATCTCCTTCTGTCAGTGCAACTGTCCCCACGGAGGCCCCCATGCAGGCCCAATGTTCTTTCCCCTTAGAGCCCCTGGGTTTTGGCCTGGGGCAGCCCCCCACCTCCCTCTTCCATGTGGACCCCCATGCTCTGCCTCAGTCCTGCCCCACTATGAACACAGAGGCAGAGCCCCTCTACATGTCCCAGCACTCTCCCAGTCCCTCCATAACCTCCTCCAATCAAGAAGCAGCTAGACAAGAAGCCCTGCCTACCGGTGAAGATGAGGAGGAGGTGGTTCTGGTGGACTCCCAGCCAATCAACTTCACTGAGAACCCCTTCCTGGTGGCCAATCGCAGGAGCAAGGGCCTCCCCCCCTCGGAGCGCATCCTATCAGGGCCTCACGTGGGCTACGGGAGCGCGGGCAAGCTGCAGCCCTGGTTATTCAGCAAGGCAAGCGGCCGGCCTGCCTGCGTGTGTGGGTTTGAGCCAGCATGGTGTGTGGCACTGTGGCCTGGTGTAGGAGTAGCAGTTCCTTTTTGTCTCTGCGCCAATTTAAAATGTTTTATTATTTATTTAGAAAATGTTTCAGCCAAGAGTTTATATGATAGAATTTATATTATGTGTTTGATTTTTTCATTGTAACAACCATTAGGGTTATAACCTGATCTGCCTTATTTTCATTGAGTTCCTCCCTGTAGCACAGGATACACACTTGTGCGCTTGTATGACATAATCATTGCCAATCACAAACACTGCCAGCCAGGATGGCTTGAATGACCAAAATGTGTGAAGTCACCTGTTTTGACGGATGTCTCCTTCACTAACCCTTTCAAAATATATAACCATGAGCATGTGACTGCTGGAATTGAGATGGAGAAATGTCTTGCTATGAATGAGTCCTGGGTAAATCCATTTGAATTCAATCACTTTTTGACAGCATCCCTTTTGATTTAAACAAAACTTTCTATGGAAAAAGTGGTCAGAACGTGACTTTTTTGACATGAATGCCAAACATTCAGAAAATAAAGGTGCTCTAAGTTAACCCATTTTGCATACCCCACCATACCATGAGAAATCCATGTCTTCATCACTGGAAAAGATCAACGGTTGAGTTTGTTATAATTTCAAAGCTTACAAACAGTGTTGTCAAACTATTTGATTATTTCTTGAAAAATGTTACCTTTAACGTCAATTATCTACAAACGTGTAAACTCTGATTTATTTTTTGTATTCCCATATGTTGTAGTTTAGACCCTATTTTACATAATCTAAGGTTTTTGTGTTGTGCCCGCCATAGGTTGAGACCATGTTCTTGAATACATGGTGGATGTCGTTTCAATCATAGAAATGGAATGAATAGATTGGACCTATCCCTTCAGACAACTGCAATTTAGCTGGTACACCATTGAAATGTTTAATGCACTTCTAATTACTACCGCAAAGATGACTGCAGGTCCACCCACTGTCGAATGTCAACTTAAATGGTCATGTCTTTTCTATTTCAATGATTTCAACAGATATTCCCATTCAAGTCAACATTCTCTGACATGTGGACCTCCAACCATCTTTTTGGTACCATTTGACAGTTGAAATGTCAAATGTAGTCCCATTTATCAACCAAAACATGACACCCACCCTGTATTCAAGAGCATGTTGTGTCTCAACCGATGGCGGGCACATCACCAAAACCTTAGATTATGTAAAATAATGTGAATATGAAAAAAAAGTTTACACGTTTAGATAAGTGACTTAAAATATTAAAGGAAAACATTTTTTTCAAGAAATGATGAAATAGTTGAACAACTCTGTAAGCTTTTAAATGATATCAATTGCAGTAGTTTATCTTTTCCAGTGATGAAGACATGTCTCATGGTATGGTTGGGTATGCAAAATGGGTCAACTTTGAGCACCTTTATCTCTTGAATGTTTTGGCATGCAGGTCCAAAAACATTCTGAGCACTTCTACAATGAGCAAATATGTATGGAAGGTTTCGTTCAAATCAAAAGGGATGCTGTCAAAAAGTGATTGAATTCAAATGGATTTACCCCTTCTGGAGTGCACAGCGGAGCAGGGGCTCTGCAGTGTAACATTCCCGCTAGGAGTCCTGGACTGGTAGGAATGTCCACTCAACAGCTGTGAGGAGGAATTCAAGCCTCAACCTTAAACATTTCAAATATGAGTTTGAAAGGAACACGAACCATGGCACAGTAGATGCACATGCTAAAATCTACATTTTGTTACATTAGACTTATTCTAAAATGGATTCAATAAATACAAATCCTCAGCAATCTACACACAATACCCCATAATGACAAAGCGAGAACATGCTTTTAGAATTTTTTGCAAATGTATTAAAAATAAAAATACCCAAGAACACAGTGACCTCCATCATTCTTAAATGGAAGAAGTTTGGAACCACCAAGGATCTTCCTAGAGCTGGCCGGCCGGCCAAACTGAACAATCGGGGGAGAAGGGCCTTGGTCAGGGAGGTGACCAAGAACCCGATGGTCACTCTGACAGAGCTCTAGAGTTCCTCTGTGGAGATGGGAGAACCTTCCAGAAGGACAACCATCTCTGCGGCACTCCACAAATCAGGCCTTTATGGTAGAGTGGCCAGACGAAGCCACTCCTCAGTAAAAGGCACATGACAGCCCGCAAGATTTTCTGGTCTGATGAAACCAAGATTCAACTCTTTGACCTGAATGCCAAGCGTCACATCTGGAGGAAACCTGGCACCATCCCTACGGTGAAGCATGATGGTGGCAGCATCATTTCAGCGGCAGGGACTGGGAGACTACTCAGGATCGAGGCAACGTTTTTAACGGAGCGAAGTCAGAGAGATCCTTAATGAAAACCTGCTCCAGAGCGCTCAGGAAATCAGACTAGGACGAAGGTTCACCTTCCAACAGGACAATCACCCTAAGCACACAGCCAAGACAATGCAGGAGTGACTTCGGGAAAGTCTCTGAATGTCCTTGAGTGGCCCAGCCTGAGCCCGGACTTGAACCCGATCAAACATCTCTGGAGAGACCTGAAAATAGCTGTGCAGCAACGCTCCCCATCCAACCTGACAGAGCTTGAGAGGATCTGCAGGGAAGAATGGGAGAAACTCCCCAAATACAGGTGTGACAAGCTTGTAGCGCCATACCCAAGAAGACTCAATGCTGTAATCGCTGCCAAAGGTGCTTTAGCAAAGTACTGAGTAATGGGTCTGAATACTTACGTAGATTCGATATTTCCATTTTTTTATTTGTAATAAATTAGCAAACATTTCCAAAAGCTTTGTCATTATGGAGTATTGTGTGAAGATTGATGAGGGGGAAAAAACTATTTAATCAATTTTAGAATAAGGCTGTAAAGTAACAATGTGGAAAAAGTAAAGGGGTCTGAATACTTTCCGAAGGCACTGTATGTTGCCCAGAAGTAGCTTGTTATTGACTGGGTTGTGTACACTGATTTGAGAAGTGTATATGCTAAATGACTTTTACATGTCTACTGTTATTTGCTGCACCAGTAGGATAGCAGAAATCTGGTAACTTTCCCAAAAGTCCCATTGTTTTCCAGAAATCCTGGTCTGAAGATTTCCAGAATAAGCAGGAAATCCGGAATTTTGCAACCTTACCAATAATAATAATCAGCTTACTCCACTGAGAGTAGAGTCGGTGGAAGTTGGGACAGCTGCTAAATCTCTTTCCGTCTCTCTTTCTCTGTCTGTGTGTGTTCTCAGGCGCCCTCCACTGAGCCCCCCAGGACAGACAGTCCCATTAGAGATGCCCCGTACTCACCTAGCACACAACCGGTATGTCCACCCCACCCCAACAACAACCCTCCTTTCACATCCTCCTTTAAAGTCCTCTCATTGACACCTCTGCTTTCACAGCACCTATTTATTTTCTCTTTTTACATAAGCCTTCCCTCCCATCCCTCCCTCTCTCCCTAGCCCAGTGCTCATTCCTCCACCAGCTCCCTGTGTGCAGGCAGGGAGACCCGCTTCGTAAGTGGTCTGCTCTGGCCTGGCTTTGTCTGCTCAGCTGCAATAGACTGCTATCAGTAACGTCTGGTCCTTTGCCATTGTCAGCTGTTTATAATGAGTTGTACTACAGTGGAGCTATACTACAAGTGTGAATCTTTTTAACACATGCGACTGCCCAGCTTGCCATGGACACTCATTGCTGATGCTTTCTCTACTTCATGCAGTAGTAGACTCTGGTTGCATCCCAAATGGCACCCTATTCCCTTTATTGTACACTAGCTTTGACCAGGGCCCATAGGGAATAGGGTGCCATTTGGGATGCACCCTCTGTTTTTGGAGATTCAGATTCTATCCCGTGTCATTTGTGCCTTTAATTCCAGCTTGGTTGGAATTTGTAATGAACCCTGAGCTTTGCATTGAGAATGATGTTGAAATGTGTTTACCAAGTATTGGAATGTGTTCTGAGTAGGGCTAACACAATTACTGTGTAACCGACCGTCCTAACTGTAAAAAAAATAATGTGTATATATGTGTGTGTGTGTATATATATATATATATAATATATATATATAATATTATATATATATATATTATATATAGATATATATATATATATATATTAGATAGATTATACTATAATATATATAGATATAGATATATATATATACTATACTATACTATACATATATATATATATATTTTTTTTTTATATATATATATTGTGTATAAAAAATAAAATAAAATAAAGGTGTTGTAGCAAACAAGTCTTCGGAAGCCTAGGCAACACCCCCCCCAAAATGCAGCAGCAGCACACATAGAAATATAATGAATAGAACGGGCTTGGAACATCTAACCCTGGCAATTTGACTGGTAAACTTAGAATGCCCCGTATTGTAAAGAAATAATTTCCATGGTAATGTAGACTGTTCATTCAAATTATGTTAACTGATGTCGCCTATGCAATGGGATGTATTTTTTGTAATGTCTGTTGTGACCGGACGGGTTATTTTAGGCCGTTTTTAACTACCTGTTCCTCCCTTCCGAACGGCGTTCGCCCATCTCTTAGAACTGACTGACCCATGTTCAACTGCTGTTCACATGGAACCCTTCTCCACTTCGGCCTTCAAAGTTCTCGTTTTGAATATTTGCTACTACCACCAAGACATGCACCCGCGGGCGGCTCCACCCGGGCCCACGCCCTAGGCTTCCAGTTGAATCAACAAATCACAGCACATATTGATGGGGACACTTCCCGCTTTTACTTCCTGCTTTGCTCCTATGGATAGTGGGGACACTCACAATGGCTGCCAGTCCATCCATTGCCAGCAGCATACCACCCTGCATCCCACTGCTGGCTTGTCTCTGAAGCTAAGCCCTGGATGGGAGACCAGATGCTGCTGGAAGTGGTGTTAAAGTGCCAATAGGAGGCACTCTTTCCTTTTGGTTTAAAGATAATAATATCAGAATGCCCCAAGGGCAGTTATTGGGGACATTACCCTGTGTAAGGTGCTGTCTTTCGGATGGGACGTTAAACGGGTTTCCTGACTCTATGGTCACTAAAGAGCCCATGACACTTATCGTAAGAGTAGGGGTGTTAACCGCAGTGTCCTGGCTAAATTCCCAATCTGGCCCTCATACCGTCATGGCCACCTAATCATCCCCAGCTTCCAATTGGCTCATTCATCCCCCCCTCCTCTCCCCTGTAACTATTCCCCAGGTTGTTGCTATAAATTACAATGTGTTCTCAGTCAACTTTCCTGGTAACATGAGGGTAAAATAAAATACAATTATGCCATCATTGACTTGAATGGGGACGCCCGTTTTATTCATTCTATTTCTATGGCAGCACATACAATGAGAACGGTTATTACGGAGACCGCGGTCATTTTGCTGGCCAATTACCGTCATCCAAAAATCCATGACCGTCACAGCCCTAGTTTTGAGCTACTGCACGTTATTCAGCTTCAGAGCAGATGTGTTCCAGATTTCAGAGCTAGTGTTCATTTTGCATCGTCAGGGTAGCTCAGGTCCGGGTAGTAGTTGCGAAACCATTTCCATTTTGTGTGCATGTTTGTGTGAGAACCATGTTTGCGCCTATAGAGAGCATGCCTGTATGTTGTACAGATCTAGTATCAGTTTCCCCTCCCCCAAAACTGAACCAGGAACAGCGTCTAGGGGCAACTTCACCCTACACCTATGTTGAAATATTGGCATCACAGTGTGTGGCTTGTCATGTAAGCCGTCATGTCAACTCCATGCATTCTTCTGTATTTATTTTTCAGGCAAGCATTCATTTCACCCCTACTGCACTGCCTGCCAAGGAGAATAACTCACCCTATGAGGTATTGACCTTCAATCTAGTCATAGAGAATGTATGGGGGCAAGATCTGTGCTCTCATTGTCCATCATTGACAGTAAACATTCATAGTCCGTTCTCAGTGCTGAGACTGTGGCTCCATCCCAAATGGCACCCTAGTCCCTAGAAAAGGGGAATAGGGTGCCATTTGGGACACAGCCTGCATTGAAATCTATGACGTTAACATCTTTGTTGTGCTTGTCCCTTCCAGACAAGGCCAGGTGCCATCCAGCCCCTCTCCCGTGGTGGCGGGCGGCAGATCACCTCGCCAGCCACTCCGGATGGGCACAGCAGAGACGGGCACAGCAGTCCCAACCCCTTCCAGCATGGCCCCTCCCCCATCAACTCTCAGTCCTTTGTAAGACCCCTCTCCACCACGTAGGGTGAGGGTGAGACCCCCCCCCCCCACCCTGGGTGCCATCTCACAGCAGTGTCACGAATGCTCATCACAATTGTTTCCTAGTATTTGTAGACGCTACTTACCATAGAGTTTGAGCTGGGTCCCTGTCCTTGCATTCATTTGCGCACGGGGACTTGCTGTAAAAGCACTGTTGTTGAAGACAAGCGCCATAAAAGTGTACTTGCATTCTCAGCAATATTTATCTGAGTCGCAACTACTGTAGCCAGAGCCAACCAATGGCTTACAGGGGAGTTCTGGAATGTTTCATTCCATCTGGTGATTGGGTTGAATCTCAGCAATCTCAACAATCTCCCGTTTTCTTGTATATAACGCTACCTCCGCCGAGTTGCGCACACATTATCTGAGTGCCATAGCTTCACAAAGGCAGGCACAGCCTCATTCGCCCACCCCTATTGTCTGTCTCTCGCACATCCCCCTTCGCATCATGGTTTCTCCACCTTGTTCTCACGCTGTCTTCAGCTTCTCTGTTTTTTTCTCCTGTTCTGCCCCGCTCCTTGTTCCCCTTGGCTTTGTCTGTCCCCTCCTTCTCCCTTTTGCTCCTCCCACTTCATGGACCTCCCCCTCTTGCCTCCTGACCCCCCCCGCCCCCCCCCAGCTGCAGCCTTGTTTTCCCTCCCCCGACACGATCGATGAGTTCCCCCTAAACCCCAAGCAGGCATACAAGGCGTTTGCCGCCGTGCCTCACTCGCTGGCCGTGCTGGAGCCGCCCCCGCAGGTAGGCAGGTCGCCCCACCCAGGCACCCCGTGGGCCCCAACAAGCATACTATGGTGGTCGTCTTCACCCCCCCACCCCCCCCCCCCCCCCCCCCCCCCCCCACGGCTGGTGCAGACCGCCCACCCTCAAAGCCTGTCCCCCGTCTCGGCCTGTAACCGTGGTCCGTACTGTGTTGGAATGCAGTCGTGTGTAGTCTTTGTTTTTGTACTGGTGCTGTTGTTCACAATTTCCATTCTGAAAGCAATCATTGATCATCAGCCGTCTGTGCTCAGAAGTCCCATCCATTTAAGTCCCATCTCAACCATTCTCATCAACTTGCCTGCTTTGTGCCCATAGAAATAGAATCTATGCTATCTATGATTCTATCTAGGATTCTATTTCTATGTTTGTGCCTCTCCACTGTGTGTTTTCCTTTCTGTCCAATGGCTACCTCCTGTTTCCCTCACGCTTTATCTTCTGTGTCCATCAACAGGATCAGTTTGGCCAGAGGAACAATGTCCACCCCAATCAGCCTTCTCCTTCTCCAGAGGTGAGCCTTTGTACCACCAGTTACAATACAAGTTATAGGGACAGCATTAAGGGTCATAAGTGTGTTTTGTGTTAGTCTGTGTGATATCGAATGAGTTTGAATGGCAACGCAGGTCAGTATGTGTTAATGTTAATTAGAAGACATTGAAAAAGTGCAGATAAAACCTGTCTTAAAGTGACAAATTGGCGGTTGGTCATGTCCCTTTGGGCTGACACTCCGGTGACGAGACGACTTCTGTACATGTGGTTCTTTCAGCCTGAGCTGAACAACGAGGTGTTTGAGGATGAGGTAGAGGGGGACGGAGGAGTGGGTAGAGGTCAGGCAGCCCCAGTCTCTCCCCGACCCTCCCTCTCCTCTGACCGTCGGGACTATATGAGTCTGGCAGCAGTGCCACGCCTCTCCAGAGCCTCCATGGACATGGTCGTAAAGGTACCCCCCCCACCCCACCGTGGGTGTCCCCAATCGGGCTGAGATCGGGCTGTGGTCTCCTTTGCTTTGGTGGTGATGGCAGTGCTATATCACTGTTACTTACAGAGAGAAGGGGCGGCGGTGCTACATTTGGTGTCAGAGGTGGGATCCTGGGTTGTGATTCGACTGCCTAATTTATATTTTTCCCACCTGCTTAACAATCAATTAATACTGTGCTGGATTTACTGTAAAACCTTCTTAACTTTCTGATGATTCTCAAATGAAATGGTCAAATCAAAATATTTCAGTTTATTAAAAGAATCTTCATGTTTTTATGGACTGGCTATTTTTATGGACATTGTTGTGGGATCTGGCTTACGTATGTGTCTGTGTCCATTGAATGTTTGATTGGGCAGGTTGAAACCAACCTCTGTCCCCATGGCCATTTCAGAGGGCGGTGTGGGTAATGTTGGTGTACGAACTGTTGCTCTTCCAGCATCCTAACCACCCTATCCCTATGGTCCCCTCCCCCACAGACTCCATCACCTGGGGGCAGAGACAGCCTGGAGCAGCGCTCCTTCAGGGACAGACAGAAGTACTTTGAGATCGACGTGAAGCAACAGACGCCCGACAGCAAGCCCAAAGGCCGCGTGTCCCTGGTGGGAGCAGACGACCTGAAGAAGATGAGGGAGGAGGAAGGTTTGTGCCAGCCAGCTCCTTTATTTCAAGCCCAAATAATACCCTTTACCCCCTTCTAGGGTTGCACATTTCTGATAACTTTCCCAAAATGAGGTTTCTGAATTTGATGCTTTAATCCTTCATGATTCCAGTACTCATCCAACCAGGAATTAAGGAATATCTTGGAATTTTAGGGAAACTTCTGTGAATGGTACAAATCTCTGGTTCATTTTGGTCAGAGAGACTAATGCTGCCTTCATAACATCTCATAAATTCTTAAATACCAGCATACCACTTGGAAATATCTACTTGAACGCCCTTCCAACTGGTAATTACTAGTGGGAAAATCGTCTCTCATCTCTGAGCTCCGACTTCTCCCACACGCTGAACTCTGACGTCACATACTAAGGAAATGACCTCGATAACAGCATTTTCGGCAGTTAAATGCAACAACAAAACATTATTTAAATGCAACACCAAAACATTATTTTTAAAAATTAATAATCAGTTAATATGGTTTTTGAACACTAATTTGTTTACGAGTATGATAGCTGTAATTTTAGTGCAGGTTTAAGCAGCGTGTTTGCCATTAGTCAATTGGCGTTCTCAACGAGTTCAAAGCATGTGAATGCAAGGAACTCGTTGCTCCCAGTATACAAGTAGTATTTTCAGAGTTTCCCACTTGTTATGAACGCAGCATAAGCTCTGATGAATCGCATCCTAATGGAACTATGTTTCTACAATCCCAGAGAGGAGATTCGAGCAGCGGGCACGGGAGTACCTGATGGATGACGATGACGAGGAGGAGGATGACCTGGTGACGCAGATGGGAGTGTTGAAGGCCACGGGCAAGGTGTTGCTGGACGGGGTGGAGTACAAGGTGGAGCCTGTAGCCACGCCCCCCAGGCACTGTAACACGCCCCCCAGCTACTGTGGCAGCTCAGGGTACAGCCTTTTCTCTTGAATTTATTAGGAAATACGCTTGAAATTAAGATTCATTGATTGCACATTATCAGATGCCTATGTTTTGAGTAATGGAAGATTATATTGTGGAGGTTTTTTATTTTAAATTCAGCTGTTTAATGTCCCCTCATTTATGTTTGTGCCCATAGGCCCTCGTTAGTGGATGGTAAAGGAGACTCCCAGAGGAATTCCCTAGAGGAGAGCTTCAGGTTGGAGCAGCAGAGGCCCAACTCCATGACTGGGTAAAAACAACCAAACACGTCCTAGATTTTAAATCACAAATCCGTGTGTGTGACACTGTTTTATAGTCTCTGCAGTGGTCTCCCAAACGTGTGTGTGTGTAGTGTGTAGTGTCTGCTGCAGTGTGTGTGTGAGGTGTTATGTGGTGTGTTAGCAGTGCGTTTTGACATTGTGTGTTCCTCCCTCTCCACCCAGTCTGATCCCAGTGTACCCTGGAGAGTCGGGGGCTCCCATCCGGACGGCCAAGGCAGAGCGGAGGCAACAGGAGCGGCTGAGAATGCAGAGTCCAGAGCTGACCCCAGCCGGAGACAAGGACCTCTCCCCCTCCGAGAAACGGGCTCTGGAAGCCGAGAAGAGAGCCATGTGGAGGGCAGCAAGGTACACACACACTTACACAATCACACACACACACACAATCACGTCACACACACACACACACACACACAATCACGTCACACACACGTCACACACATCACAAAAGGACATTTGAATATGTGTGAAGAAACTAAAGGGACATAGATCAATATGTTCTAAATACAGAGCCAGGTAGAGAACAGCAGGGACAAGATTCCTCTTTGCCTTCCCAACCTTTCTGTGTTTCTACTATTTTTGCTTTTTGTCCTGTTTCTTCTCATCTTTTCCATGCGTTATAGTGACTGATTATCAGAGATTCCTCTTAAAGGAACTTGGGTTTTTACATTTTAGTCATTTAGCAGAGGCTCTTATCCAGAGCAACTTACAGTAGAGTGCATACATTTTCGTACTGGTCCCCCGTGGGAATCAAACCCACAACCCTGGTGTTGCAAGTGCCATGTTCTACCACGCTCTCACCCATCTACAGACAATACCCCATAATGACAAAGTGAAAACATGTTTTTAGAAACGTAGCAAATTTATTGAAAATGAAATGCAGACATATTTTAAATAAGTATTCAAACCCCTGAGTCAATACATGCTAGAATCACCTTTGGCAGCGATTACGGCTGTCAGTCTTTCTGGGTAAGTCTCTAAGAGCTTTGCACACCTGGATTGTACAATATTATTGCATTTTCTTTTATTTATTTTTATACTTGAAGCTCTGTCAAGTTGGTTGTTGATCATTGCTAGACAGCCATTTTCAAGTCTTGCCATAGATTTTCAAGCTGATTTAAGTCAAAACTGTAACTAGGCCACTCAGGAACATTCAATGTCTTCTTGGTAAGCAACTCCAGTGTATTTTCGGCCTTGTGTTTAGGTTATTGTCCTGCTGAATGGTGAATTTGTTTCCCAGTCTGTTGTAAAGCAGACTGAACCAGGTTTTCCTCTAGGATTTTGCCTGTGCTTAGCTCTATTACGTTTATTTTTACCGTTTACCTTTACTCTCTAGTCCTTGCCGATGAGAAGCATACCCATAACATGATGCAGCCACCACCATGCTTGAAAATATGGAGAGTGGTACTCTAATGTATTGTGTTTGATTTGGCCCCAAACATATTCATGATATAAAGTTCATTTCTTTGCCACATGTTTTGCAGTTTTACTTTAGTGCCTTGTTTTAGAAATTTTTTATTCTGTACAGGCTTCCCTCTTTTCACTCATTGAGGTTAGTATTGTGGAGTAACTACAACTTTGTTGATCCATCCTCAGTTTTCACCTATCACAGCCATTAAACTCTGTAATTGTTTTAAAGTCACCATTGGCTCATGGTGAAATCCCTGAGCAGTTTCCTTCCTCTCTAGCATCTGAGTTAGGAAGGACGCCTGAATCTTTGTAGTGATTGAGTGTATTGATACAAAGTGTAATTAATAACTTCACCATGCTCAAAAGGATATTCAATGCCTGCTTTTTTAGGTGCCCTTTGCAAGGCATTGGAAAACCTCCCTGGTCTTTGTGGTTGAATCTGTGTTTGAAATTCACTGCTCGACTGAGGGACATTACAGATAATTGTATGTGTGGGGTAAAGAGATGAGGAAGTCATTAAATAAAGCAATTGTACACCAGAGGGCGTGCTAAACAACTTTTTTAGCACGGCTGTGCTGCGATCATATGTACGAGGCTGAGCCAAGTACCGTAGATCAGCACAGCCGTGCTAAAAAAGTTGTTTTGCACAACCTCAAGTGTACAATTGCTTTTCTACAACGGGTTACCAATGAAATAAAATACGTTATTTTGATCAATGTATTCATAGGCTACTATTTCATCCCTCAAAATATAGGCCTAGTCCTGACACATCTATGGTTGCTAGCCATGCAAGCTGGCCGTTCATTCTGTCGGTTAGGTTGCCAGAGACATGACCCAGTCGTTAAGTATTTTTGTTCTATATCCATGGACATGACCCAGTCGTTCGTTCTAAATGTTCCGTTGCCATGCTGACTGGCAACGCTCTTATACATTGCTTGCTAGCCAACTACGGCTAACACAGTCAGGTCAAACAGTGCAGCCAGAATAACAGCAAAGTAGCTGCATGTGTGTTTGTTTAGGCTGTTTTGGATTTCGCCTGGCATAGAAAATGTGCTCTCTCGTCAGGACACTGTTAAGAGGAGCTAACCAACTACACAGCTAACACAATCACTTCAAACTGAAGCTAGTAAGACAGCAAACTAGCTGCATTTCATGTCATTTGACCTGTTTTCCTATTGACATTTCTTTGTATATACAGTGGGGGAAAAAAGTATTTAGTCAGCCACCAATTGTGCAAGTTCTCCCACATAAAAAGATGAGAGAGGCCTGTAATTTTCATCATAGGTACACGTCAACTATGACAGACAAATTGAGAAAATTTTTTTCCAGAAAATCACATTGTAGGATTTTTAATGAATTTATTTGCCAATTATGGTGGAAAATAAGTATTTGGTCAATAACAAAAGTTTCTCAATACTTTGTTATATACCCTTTGTTGGCAATGACACAGGTCAAACGTTTTCTGTAAGTCTTCACGAGGTTTTCACACACTGTTGCTGGTATGTTGGCCCATTCCTCCATGCAGATCTCCTCTAGAGCAGTGATGTTTTGGGGCTGTCGCTGGGCAACACGGACTTTCAACTCCCTCCAAAGATTTTCTATGGGGTTGAGATCTGGAGATTGGCTAGGCCACTCCAGGACCTTGAAATGCTTCTTACGAAGCCACTCCTTTGTTGCCCGGGCAGTGTGTTTGGGATCATTGTCATGCTGAAAGACCCAGCCACGTTTCATCTTCAATGCCCTTGCTGATGGAAGGAGGTTTTCACTCAAAATCTCACGATACATGGCCCCATTCATTCTTTCCTTTACACGGATCAGTCGTCCTGGTCCCTTTGCAGAAAAACAGCCCCAAAGCATGATGTTTCCACCCCCATGCTTCACAGTAGGTATGGTGTTCTTTGGATGCAACTCAGCATTCTTTGTCCTCCAAACACGACGAGTTGAGTTTTTACCAAAAAGGTATGTTTTGGTTTCATCTGAACATATGACTTTCTCCCAATCCTCTTCTGGATCATCCAAATGCACTCTAGCAAACTTCAGACGGGCCTGGACATGTACTGGCTTAAGCAGGGGGACACGTCTGGCACTGCAGGATTTGAGTCCCTGGCGGCGTAGTGTGTTACTGATGGTAGGCTTTGTTACTTTGGTCCCAGCTCTCTGCAGGTCATTCACTAGGTCTGGGATTTTTGCTCACCGTTCTTGTGATCATTTTGACCCCACGGGGTGAGATCTTGCGTGGAGCCCCAGATCGAGGGAGATTATCAGTGGTCTTGTATGTCTTCCTTTTCCTAATAATTGCTCCCACAGTTGATTTCTTCAAACCAAGCTGCTTACCTATTGCAGATTCAGTCTTCACAGCCTAGTGCAGGTCTACAATTTTGTTTCTGGTGTCCTTTGACAGCTCTTTGGTCTTGGCCATAGTGGAGTTTGGAGTGTGACTGTTTGAGGTTGTGGACAGGTGTCTTTTATACTGATAACAAGTTCAAACAGGTGCCATTAATACAGGTAACGTGTGGGGGACAGAGGAGCCTCTTAAAGAAGAAGTTACAGGTCTGTGAGAGCCAGAAATCTTGCTTGTTTGTAGGTGACCAAATACTTATTTTCCACCATAATTTGCAAATAAATTCATTAAAAATCCTACAATGTGATTTTCTGGATTTTGTTTTCTCAATTTGTCTGTCATAGTTGACGTGTACCTATGATGAAAATTACAGGCCGCTCTCATCTTTTTAAGTGGGAGAACTTGAACAATTGGTGGCTGACTAAATACTTTTTTTCCCCACTGTATATCCATAAAAATTATGCGGATTCATGATTTCGACTGGCTGAGAAAAAATGTCAGTTAATTCTATTGGTTAGGTTGCCAGAGACGTGACCCAGTCGTGAAGTCTTTTTATTCTATATCAAAGGACGCGACCCAGTCGTTCGTTCTAAATGTTCCGTTGCCATGCTGGCTGGCAAAACTCTTATCCCTTGCTTGCTAGCTAGCCTACTACGGCTAACACAGTCACGTCAAACCGTGCAGCTAGAATAACAGAAAAGTAGCTGCATTTAATGTCGTTTTACCTGTTTTTCTATTGACATTTCTTTGTATACAGTGCAATCGGAAAGTATTCTGACCCCTTTACTTTTTCCACATTTTGTTACGTTACAGCCTTATTCTAAAATTGATTTAAATTATAATTTTTTCTCGTCAATCTACAAACAATATCCCATAATGATAAAGCGAAAACAGGTTTTTAGACATTTTTGCACATTTATAAAAAAAAAAAATACCTTATTTACATAAGTATTCAGACCCTTTGCTATGAGACTCAAAATGTAGCTCCGGTGCATCCTGTTTTGCTGTTTATTATCTATGTGTAGTCACTTTACCCCTTTCCACATGTACAAATTACCTCGACTAACCTGTACCCCAGCACATTGACTCGGTACCGGTACCCCCTATATATAGCCTCGTTATTGTTATTTTATTGTATTACTTTTTATTGTATTTTTTTACTTTAGTTTAAGTAAATATTTTCTTAAGGTAAGGTCACCTGTCGGCACATGTGACAAATAAAATTTGATTTGATTTGATGAACCCAAGATTGAACTCTTTGGCCTGAATGCCAAGCGTCACGTCTGGAGGAAACCTGGCACCATCCCTATGGTGAAGCATGGTGGTGGCAGCATCATGCTGTGGGGATGTTTTTCAACAGCAGGGACTGGGAGCAAAGTACAGAGAGATCCTTGATGAAAACTTGCTCCAGAGCGCTCAGGACCTCAGACTGGGGCGAAGGTTTCCCTTCCAACAGGACAACGACCCTAAGCACACAGCCAAGACAACACAGGAGTGGCTTCGGGACAAGTCTCTGAATGTCCTTGAGTGGCCCAGCCAGAGCCTGGACTTGAACCCGATCAAACATCTCTGGAGAGACCTGAAAATAGCTGTGCAACGACGCTCCCCATCCAACCAGACAGAGCTTGAGAGGATCTGCAGAGAAGAATGGGAGAAACTCCCCATATACAGGTATGCCAAGCTTGTAGCATCATACCCAAGAAGACTCGAGGCTGTAATCGCTGCCAAAGGTGCTTCAACAAAGTACTAAAGTGAAGGGTCTTAATACTTATGTAAATGTAATATTTCATTTTTTCATGTTTTATAAATTTGCAAAAATGTCTAAAAACCTGTTTTTGCTTTGTCATTATGGGGTATTGTGTGTAGATTGATGAGGGGGGAAAACAATTGTAATCCATTTTAGAATAAGGCTGTAACGTAACAAAGTGTAAAAAGTGAAGTGATCTGAATACTTTCCGAAATGAACGTAAATTCTCAATAGGACAGTGGGGATGTAATATATACTGAACAAAAATATAAACGCAACATGCAACAATTTCAAAGAGTTTACTGAGTTACAGTTCATATGAGGAAATCAGTCAATTGGAATAAATTCATTAGGCCCTAATCTATGGATTTCACAAGACTGGGCAGGGGTGCAGCCAGGCCCACCCACTAGGGAGCCAGCCCCAGCCGATCAGAATGAGTTTTTCCCCACAAAAGGGCTTTATTACAGACAGAAATACTCCTCAGCGAAGGAGAAATGCTCACTAACAGGGATATAAACAAATTTGTGCACATCATTTGAGAGAAATAAGCTTTTTGTGCGTATGTAACATTTCTGGGATTTTTTATTTCATCTGATGAAACATGGGACCAACACACTTTACATGTTGCGTTGTGTAATATTGAAACTATGTTGCAAATGTCGAGAGACAGACAGCAAAGTTGTTGCAAACCAAATGTTAGGCTAGAAGCAAGGGGAGATAATGTCTAGAGGCGTTTTTACAGTGGAGATCAAGTTAATGAATTGACTGGCTGGGCTGATGGGACAGGATGAGCAGGGATTTCTCAGATGGAGCAGAAAACAAGATTCCCATTTTTGCACCAAAGGCTTACCGGTGCTAAACGTTTTTCTCAACCAATCACAATGCTTGTTTTGACCAACCCGTTGTAGAAAAATCATGTTAAACAGTATTATTGCACACAGATTGAGTCCATGCAATTTATGTGATTTACAGTATGTGATTTATAATACTTTTTAAGCAAAATGTTTACTCCTGAACTTACTTGCCATAACAAAGGGGTTGAATACTTATTGACTCCAGACATTTCAGCTTTTCATTTTTAATTAAATAGTAAACATTTCTAAAAACATAATTCCACTTTTACATTATGGGGTATTGTATGTAGGCCAGTGACACAATCTCAATTTAATTAATTTTCAATTCGGGCAACACAAAATGTGGAAAAAGTCAAGGGGTGTGAATACTTTCTGAAGGCACTGTGTATCTACTTCTGATCTCCTCCCTCTCACTGTTTTCATCTCTTACTGCTAGACTGGTCTCATTGGACTCTCTCCTATTCGTTTCAATGTTTTACCTCTGTCTGTGTGCCCTGTCTCTCCGTCCCTCTGTGTGTTTTCCTTTCCTCCTCTTCCTCCTCTCCCTGCCCACCTTCCCCTTCGTTGTGGGTGCAGGCCCTATGGCCTAGAGGAGGATGTTAGGCAGTATGAGCAGGACCTGGCTAAGAGGCTCTACCAGTCGCGAGTGAGGGCGTCTCAGGGCACCGCGCCACCCCCTCAGTCCCAAAACGCTGCCACCTCCTCCGCTGCCTCCCAGCTCAGGTCTGCTCACCAGTCCTGACCCGCACACCATTGTGGGGGTATTGCTGCCTGGGGTGCTTTGGTTTGGTGGGGGGGGGGCTGTTGATTCACTCTGCTAGCTTTCTTCCTTTCTCTCTCACTTTGTTTCACTCTCTCTTTCTTTCTCTCGCTTCTCTCTTGGTTTTAACGCATCTTTCATCGTACTAACATACAGTCCCCAGTGTGGCTGTAGCTGTCTGTGAGCTGAGGGCCTGGCTAGGTAGTCCTTCTCCTGGATTCTGTCACGCTGGTCTTGTACTTTATACTATAGTCTTAAAAACAAGCATTTCTGAGTTGAGTGAACCACCGCAGGCCAGGATAAGGAACACCCAACAGCTGCTGTTGTTGTCTGGTTGTCCTCCCCACTCCATTAGAGCAACGTGCCCTAGTTCTGCTCTATATAGTCTAGAGGATCTAGAGATCGATACTGCGATGAGAGAGAGAGAGAGTAAAGAGACAGAGAGAGGCTTAAGGAGGGAGATCTCGATCTCGAGGATCGCTCTTCCCACGTCTCATCTTCGTCACACCGATTTCTCTCTACTCTCTCACTCTCTCTCTTCTCCCCCCCCCTATCTCTCTCTCTCTCTCTCTCTCTCCCCACCCTCTTCTCTCTCTCTCTCTCTCTCTTCCCCCCCCCCCCCCCCGGTCCATCTCTCTATCTGACGGAGTTCTCTCTCTCCAATAGGATGAAGTCTCTGGAGCAGGATGCGTTGAAGGCTCAGATGGTCATCGCTAAGTCCCGGGAGGGAAAGAAGCGTGGCACAATGGACCAGCTGGCCGAGTCGCCCTCGCCCGCCCCCACGCCATCCCCCACCCCTCTGGAAGGTACGTCAGTGGCCGTCTCATGCACTCACACAGCTTAGCCCCTACATTCATTCACTCTCACTCAATGTCTGAGTCCCAAATGGCACCCTATTCCCTATATATTGCACTACTTTTGACCAGTGTCCTATGGGCCCTGGTAAAAAAAATATATAGAGAGAATAGGGTGCCGTTTGGGATGCAGCCTCTCACTCAATACCACACCTCGATCATCGAGTGGATTCAGACTCATAACCTTTTTCTGTCTAACAGATTTCAGTCCACAAGGAGTGACGTCACCAGGCAGACTGGTAAGGATCGAGATCTCTACTGCTTTTGTTTGTTAAATGAGAGTTCATAGAGATGTCTCCACTGACCTATTTCAATCCAGGGTAAAAGAGACTTGGATTGTTGCTTGGACAACCAGAGCTCATTTTAATTGAGAATAACAATGTCACAATCTAACACAAGCCTTCCTTTTAAGTCGCTATTCCGGTGAGAGATGTTCCATCATGAAAAGTTGTTTTGATGGGCTTTAAGGCACATTTACATTTTTCGCCACCATTGTACACAATCACTTCAGCCTATCAAATGCCTTGATCATCACTACAGCCAATCAAATCCCTCTCCCTCCACAAGCCACACTGGACTGTAGTATGAGTCATCCATCCAGCTCCACTGCCTCCTCTCTCATTCTCCCTCCCTCTTTCCCTTTACCCATCCCTGTCCCTCTCCCTCTTTCCTCACCTCTTCCTCTGCTCATTCCTTTTTGCTATCCTTCTAGTCCCTGTCGGAAAAGAAGTTTGACTACCGACAGTTTGCTGCCATTCCTTCTTCCAAACCCGTATACGACATTCAGGTATTGACTGCATGCTGAGCTCCCAGGCCCCATCCCTCTCCTGACTTTCCCTTCTGCCACCGCCCCAATCCCCCTCTGGTCCTCCAGTAATCAGACCTTACAGCAGCGCTGGTGGTGCCACTGCTTCTACAGCTGCCGCCATTTTGGCTCTCCCCCTGATTGATTATTCCCTGCTCCGCTGCTCCATTCTGGGGATGTGGTTTGCTAGTTGCTGCCTCCGATTTAGTTGATGAATGGATCTTGGAAACATAATGCTAATACACTAATACACCAGTAAGATACTGACCACGTAATCAAATCAGGTCCTGGGTCAGTTTTCTATCAGGATGACCTCTTACCTCCACTCAAAGCTTTCTCACCATCCCTGTTCTCCCACTCGCCTTCCAAAACATTACCAACCAATCACCTTCATTTATTTCCAAACAACCAGCCTCCACCAGGCAACATCAACACTCACCAACCACCAACCACTGATTTCAGCCCCACTAACCAGCCCCCAATCAGCTTCCGGGGGAAACTGCCCAGATCCTGCATCTCTCCCTCCTTCTCAGCCACTCTCACTCTCACCAGCTCTCCCTTTCTCTCCATGGCCGGGGCTCAGAGCCGTGTCTGTCCTGGTTCCTGATCACCTCTCCCAGTATCAGGCAGACCTGACAACAACGCATCACCTTTTGGGATCTCCTGTCCTGTCATGCTCTTGACTCCTAGTGCATAACATTTTCCAGTCTATCACTTAACCAACATATTGGTGATGGGAACTTCCTGGGCTAAACGTAATGAGGTCTCCCTAAGCTTGGATCTCAGCCTGCATAAGGATGATTCTACAGGGGTTCCTTGGGGGTCAGGGAGACTTATTTCTCAGTGGTTGTGGTGGTTTCTGGTCCAGTATTTTGTAGTCTGTGCTGCTATCAGTCTTTTTTCCAGTCTCTGTAGATTAAGTGTTTTATCAATCAGTCTTCCACACTGAAAGGCCACCAAATATTCCTCCACTGCTCCCAATATTAATTTGGCCTTGGAGTTCTAAATTTAACATGCTGTTCTATAACAAGCTTGCCTAGTCTTGAGGCCTCGTGACCTAAATACAGTAGAACTACTGTAGAGGCCAATAGGCTTCTCTGATACTAATGTGCTTCTCACGAACTCGGGGACACTGGAATGTGCATAACTTCTGGCATACGGTTACTGAGCTGCTATTTGGTGGGCTTTAACAGTGGGTATAGACCTCAGTGTACAATACGTGTGCAACCTTATTCTCCACATGTCTCACAAAGTGTGCACTTGTCATGCATACTCCCTGTGATGGGTTAACAATGGTTCAATCAGGGAGTGTGCAAGTGCACACTTAGGGAGAAGTGTTTTGGAGAACCGGGAAGCAGGGTATGTGTTTGAGTGTTGAATTCACACCAATATGGGCTACTGTATTTGTGCTTAGTCCAGTGGGAGAGACCTGTGTAGTGGGCTGTGCTGTGATTTTCTCTGCTGCATTGGTGACTGTGGTTTGGCTAAGTGTCTTGTAATGCTTCCTTGCCTGTGAACAGCTGCTCTCTGTGATGTGCCTGGGTGATGGAACAACCCCCGGAACTGATGGACTAACACAACCCTACCTTTAACTTCCCCAATCCTAACATCAGTCTGACCAGACTGCTGTGGGCAAGTGGAACCTACCTTCTCCACCCTTGCTGCCACAGTGACTGCCTGGGTGAAGAGCCACACCCACCCACTGCTAGTCCCCTAGCCCAACTTGGTGAAGGGGTTCTGGAATTATAGGTGGCCACATCCCCTAGCCTTCTTCCACTCACACACTCTCTCTGTGTCCTTCTCTTGCAGTCCCCTGACGTGGTGGATGACATTCAGTTCATTGACGATGGCTCCAGTAACCCAGGTGAGTGTCAGTGGGTCAGAGTCAACAGAACCTCTTGACAACCACATCAAGTGGGGTCCAGCATCTCTGTTGGTAAAATAGTGTGCTTTAAGTAGGATTGGCCCTATGGTTGCAAAATTCCAGTAACTTTACCAACATTTCCAGGTTTTCTAGAAATCCTGGTTGGAGGATTCCTAGATTTCCTACTTATTCCCTCCTGATTTCTGAAATATTCCAACTGTGATCTGGAAAACCTGGGAATTTTCAGAAAGTTAACAGAATTTTGCAACCCTAGCCCATAATGTACAATATGTTACCCTGATCACTTTTATCCCTTTGATTCAGGTGACTTCCTGGGATAAGCGACTCCTATTGGTAGGATTTACATACTGCCGGTTTCTGTGTGTGTGTGTGTGTTTCTCTGAACTGTGTACCCCCGTTAGTCAAGTGTGAAAAACCATAGCATAGTAGGACCATATGTTCGTAGTGCTCTCTCTTTCTCTCTCTCAGCTTTATAGAGTAGAAGGGCATGGTTTGCCCTGATATGTCTGTAGCCTTTGTAACAGTTTCTACCGTTATGGAGGCTAAAACCATATCAGGGCATGGGATGTTTTCCAACATTGGGAGGGGGTTTGCTTTACCATTGATGGCTTTGCCTGCTAACCATTCCTCACGTGTCAACCAGCTACTTTAGCTAGATCCGTCAAACATGCTACAGTACTGTACATAATATTTGGTGTGTTAAACAAACTGACACTCTACTGCAGATCCAGATCCTGCATGAACTCAAATTGGCTAAACCAAAGACTTAAAGGGGATGTTCAGTATTTTGCAACTTAATGTTAGATGGTTCCTCACCCTGAAAGTAGTCTATGGGCCAGGAGAAACTGTAATCCATGGTTCAGTTTTCTTTAAAGAGCCACTACGAATTTAAGCAGACTTTAGCCACGCTAGCTACTTTCAGGGTAAGCATCCAAGTATTTCTAATAAATGTTCCTCCATTCAATAATTTTGTCATATGCGCCGAATACAACAGGTGTGGGAGGAGTCAATGTCAATAGTCCAGGTGGCCATTTGATTAATTGTTCAGCAGTCTTATGGCTTGGGGGTAGAAGCTGTTAAGGAGCCTTTTGGACCTAGACTTGGCGCTCCAGTACCGCTTGCCCTGCGGTAGCAGAGAGAACAGTCTATGGCTTGGGTGACAGGAGTCTTTGACAATTTTTGGGGCCTTCCTCTGACACCGCCTAGTATATAGGTCCTGGATGGCAGGAAGCTTGGCCCCACGCAGGAAGCTGGGCCGTATGCACTACCCTCTGTAGCGGCTTACGGTCGGATGCCGAGCAGTTGCCATACCAGGCGGTGATGCAACCAGTCAGGATGCTCTCTGGTGCAGCTGTATAACTTTTTGAGGATCTGGGGACCCATGCCAAATCTTTTCAGTCTCCTGAGGGGGAAAAGATCTTGTCGTGCCCTCCTCACGACTGTCTTGGTGTGTTTGGACCATGATAGTTTGTTGGTGATATGGACACCAAGGAACTTGAAACTCTCGACCCGCTCCCGCTCGATGTGAATGGGGGCATGTTCGGCCCTCCTTTTCCTGTAGTCCATGATCAGCTCCGTTGTCTTGCTCACATTGAGGGAGAGGTGGTTGTCCTGGCACCACACTGCCAGGTCTCTGACCTCCTTCCTATAGGCTGTCTAATCATTGTCGGTGATCAGGCCTACCACTGTTGTGTCATCAGCAAACTTAATGATTGTGTTGGAGTCGTGCCTGGCCACACAGTCGTGGGAGTATAGGAGGGGACTAAGTACGCACCACTGAGGGGCCCTAGTGTTGAGGATCAGCGTGGCAGATGTGTTGTTGCCTACCCTTACCACCTGGGGGCGACCCTTCAGGAAGTCCAGGATCCAGTTGCAGAGGGAGATGTTTAGTCCCAGGGTCCTTAGCTTAGTGATGAGCTTTGTGGGGAATATGGTGTTGAACGCTGGCTGAGCTGTAGTCAATTAACAGCATTCTCACATAGGTGTTCCTTTTGTCCAGGTGGGAAAGGGCAGTGTGGAGTGCGATTGAGATTGCGTCATCTGTGGATCTGTTGGGGCGGTATGCGAATTGGAGTGGGTCTAGGGTTTCCGGGATGATGGTGTTGATGTGAGCCATGACCAGCCTTTCAAATCACTTCATGGCTACTGATGTGAGTGCTACGGGGCGGTAGTCATTTAGGCAGGTTACCTTCGCTTTCTTGGGCACAGGGACTATGGTGGTCTGCTTGAAACATGTAGGTATTACAGACTCGGTCAGGGAGAGGTTGAAAATGTCAGTGAAGACACTTGCCAGTTGGTCCGCGCATGCTCTGAGTACACGACCTGGTAATCCCCGCAGCCTTGTGAATGTTGACCTGTTTTAAGGTCTTGCTCACATCGGAGAGCGTGATTACACAGTCGTCTGGAACAGCTGGTGCTCTAATGCATGTTTCAGTGTTGCTTGCCTCGAAGCGAGCATAAAAGGCATTTAGCTCGTCTGGTAGGCTCGCATCACTGGCCAGCTCGCACCTGGATTTCCCTTTGTAGTCCATAATAGTTTGCAAGCCCTGCAACATCTGACGAGCGTCAGAGCCGGTGTAGTAGGATTCAATCTTAGTCCTGTATTGACACTTTGCCTGTTTGATGGTTCGTCTGAGGGCATAGCGGGATTTCTTATAAGTGTCCGGGTTTGTGTCCCGCTCCTTGAAAGCGGCAGCTCTAGCCTTTAGCTCGGTGCGGATGTTGCCTGTAATTCATGGCTTCTGGTTGGGATATGTACGTACGGTCACTGTGGGGACGACATCATTGATGACCTTATTGATGAAGCCAGTGACTGAGGTGGTATACTCCTCAATGCCGTTGGATGAATCCCGGAACATATTCCAGTCTGCACTAGCAAAACAGTCCTGTAGCGTAGCATCTACCTGGGATAGGATAAAGTAATCCTTCTACCCCCCCCCCCCCTTTACTCCAACCCACCCCCCCCCCCAAAAAAAAAAAACATTGTAAAGTGGTTATCCCACTGGCTATAAGGTGAATGCACCTATTTGTAAGTCGCTGTGGATAAGAGCGTCTGCTAAATGACGTAAATGTAAATGTAAATCTGACCACTTCCGTATTGAGTGAGTCACTGGTACTTCCTGCTTTAGTTTTTGCTTGTAAGCAGGACTCAGGAGGATAGAATTATGGTCAGATTTGCCAAATGGAGGGCGAGGGAGAGCTTTGTATGCGTCTCTGTGTGTGGAGTAAAGGTGGTCTAGAGTTTTTTTTTTTTTTTTCTCCTCTGGTTGCACATTTAACATGCTGGTAGAAATGAGGTAAAACGGATTTAAGTTTGCCTGCATTAAAGTCCCCGGCCACTGCTTATGGCCTTATACAGATCGTTGAGTGCGGTCTTAGTGCCAGCATCGGTGTGTGGAGGTAAATAGACTTCTACGAAAAATATAGATGAAAACTGTCTTGGTAGATAGTGGATCTACAGCTTATCATGAGGTACTCTACATGAGGTACTCTATCATGAGGTACTCTACCAAGCAAAACCTCGAGACCTCCTTAATATTAGACATCACGCACCAGCTGTTATTGACAAATAGGCACACACCCCCACCACTCGTCTTACCAGACGTAGCTGTTCTTTTCGGTCATAAGAGACAGTAGCAGCAACATTATGTACAAAATAAGTTACAAACAATGCGAAAAAACACACAAAATAGCACAGTTGGTTAGGAGCCCGTAAAACGGCAGCCATCCCCTCCGGCGCCATTATTTATTATTCAATTTCTACTTTCAAATGGGACTAGATGGTTTGCTTTGCAGCTGCTGGGTGTGGAGTTGGGCTTCCCTTGCAGGTTACTGGGGTCTGTTCAGGACCAAGCCTCTCCTTTCCCCTCTCAGCCACCTTCCTATAAGGAACTGTCTTGCTGGTGTTGCCGGGCAGACTAGCCATGCTTTCACTCTCTAATCCAGGGTTCTTAAATTCCGGTCCTGGAGGGCCGAGACACCTCTGTTTTTCATCCTCTCCTTCTAAATCAGGGGCTAATTCAGACCTGGGACACCAGGTGAGTGCAATTAACTACCAGGTAGAAATAAAAAACAGAAGTGTTTCGGCCCTCCAGGACCGGAATTGAAGAACCCTGCTCTAATCTCTCTCAAAGCAGAGCTTGCTATTACTGCCCACTAGTGATGGGAGGCAGGTTCTGGTCTTTTTACTGACTCTGATCTTTTCAACTCGTTTAGTCAAAATAATTTCGTTAATTTGAGTCAGTAATGCCCAGTGGACCCCCTACCGGCGAACAATGAACTGAAAACTCGAAAGTGTCATAATTCTACATTTTTACATTTTAGTCATTTAGCAGACGCTCTTATCCAGAGCGACTTACAGTTAGTGAGTGAATACATGTAATAAATGTACCATGTACATTTGCTGATTGCTAGGCATACAAATAATATTATTTCTTGATACAATTGAAACAAGGTCTAGTTGTGGCCAGAACCGGACTAGATTGACTCTTGGCTGGAATGCATTTCTTGACTGCCATGAGGGTGATAAGCACAATGTCGCTTGCGAACTGCACCCCCCCTCCCCCCAACGATTCGTCCTCGAGTTTGTTGAGCAGAGGCTTTCTATGTTTTGGTTCTACAAAGCGGTGTCAATAACGTTCAATAATAAATGGGTTGCATTCATTCTTGCACCATGCGATCAATGATCAGTTCTAAACATGTATTTTTCTTCTCTATGCTCATGATCTATTTCCCTGCTAGCATATGACAGACAGTTGGTGGTCGGAGTGCGTCTCTGGAGCTGCTGAGCCGGAAGAGTGTGTATTAACCCTGCTGTAGGGTTCATTGCGGCCAGCACTAACAGGTCAAACAAACGACTAAAATGAACGAGTCACTCAGAAAAACATTATCATGCCTGAAGTTAGTAAAAAGAGTAGTTCAAAAATAAAGAATCGTTCGCGAACTACACATCACTACTGCCACAGCGCTGGCATTGCGGGAGACTGAGGGGTCACTATGAGTCACTGAAAGGTGAACCTAGGTTTAGCCATTCACCAGGGTGTCATGTTAATATTGGTTTCTCTGTGCCCGCCAGTGCGCGCTGCGGATCCCGGGACTGAGGTGCCCGCTGCACTGCCCACTGCCACCTCGGCGCTGGAGGAGATGGCCCTCTACAGCAACAAGCGCAAGCTGAGGCAGGGCCGCCGCAGCCTGGAGACCGCCGTGCCCACATAACACCTCACGCACATCTACCACAGGAGACTCGGGATACATACACACACAGAGGAGGCACCGGGTCACTACACACACTCACAGGTTTGGGAGATGCATCCCATGTAACCACTACAGAGACCATGATGCTGATAATCAACACACACACACACACACACCATGTCATATCCTGCGTGCCAGTCTTGCCTTTACAGTCTGAGGATGTGTTGGCATGAACACGAGGCCCAACGTTCTTGATGCCAGGGAGGAGGAGGGCCGGTGAGGGGAGCTAGCATTACGCTTCAAAAAGACCATTCTCTTTCTTTATTTGTGTTCTTTCTCTTCAGTTTACGTTTTAGAAGCTGAATTATATTAACAGGCGACTGATATGTTTTTATTTTTGACCCTCTGATTTTTGCGGTTTTAAAAGAAAAATGTGTTCTGGAAGAGAGAGGAAAAAATATGAATTGTGTAGCTGTAATACTAACTCTTCAGATGCTATTTTTGAGGTTTTCAGTGAATAGATTGTGAAATGTCAGGGTTTTTAGCGGGCTTCGGGGAGTGGGAGTGTATATATTGGGAACATACTGCTACCTTCACTGCCACGTTTTAAACACTATATACATATCTCAACTGCACTACCACCCTGCTTAGAAAACATGTTTCTTTTTAAATAATTTATTTTGCTTGTATTTTATTACTCTAATCTAAAGCCTCCCCTGTAATACATTGTTGTTCCCCCTGTACTTTTAAGTGCAACGGCACAATGGAGCGATGCATATCATTTTATTTATCATAATGACATCAATGCATATCATGATATCATATTAATTCAAATGTTTAAATACCTTGTATTATTCATAAGGATCTTATGAGGCAAGCACATGTTTAATCCATATCACCAAGGCATTTTATTTTACAATGAATACATTTGTTTTCACTTTGTTGGTGCACAGGCCTTAACCAGGTTCTGACTGCTGAAATGTCCCTAATTATAGCATGATACATTACAAGGAACATGCTGTCATAGACTTGTAGGATACTGATCCCAGTACAGTTTTTGATCTCAGTGGATCAGAGTAAAGGATCTGTAGCTTTCCTGGACCAGGTTTATCAGATTCTGTCACATTCCCATTCTAGAGAATGTAACTACACTGGAGAGACCAGCAGACACACGCACGCACAGACAGAAATCAGATAAGCCACTAGTCTTTACTCAAAATGCCTGTCAATTTGGGAACATAATCTCAGCTTCATTTACATATACGGTACTTTCCCTGCCCTTTTGGGGGGCATCATGTGTCAATGTGAATCTCACTCATATCTGGATGGTATTCCAGATTTGGTCGGTGAAGGTAGCAGGTGTTTGCTTTTTTGAAAATCTGTCTATTATTGTGTGAATAATGTACAAAATACTGAATGGAAAGCAAAACTTAACGGTTGAAATTGAGCCAGTCTACTAAGCCAAGACCAAGCAAGTGTCTGGACTGCTAGTCCAGTCTGGACTGGGGATCTCTCTCTCTCTCTCTCTTGTCTCCTCTCTCTCTCTCTCTCTCTCTTGTCTCCTCTCTCTCTCTGCATGTACAATATATTGGCTTTACTGGGAGAACCTGTAGAGGCTGAAGACATTTTGTTAATCCCTTTTGAAATGTATCTCATTCGACCATTATTCTCAATCTGTCTTTCCTCTGCTCTACATGCTGCTGTCATGGATGTTATCTGATGGCAGCTTTGTTGGAGAATCATGACAAAGAGTAAAATTAGTGTTTAATTGAATGTACTAATCATATCTTTGTGTTGCTCTCGCTGACTGAAATTCAGTTAGGATGATAACATTTGCGAATGGCTGACAAATTATAATTTTTTTACTTACTTACAGTCCCCCAAAAGTATTCAAGAGAAGAGGGTAACCAAAGAAAGTTCAAACAGTTGTTTTGCATAAAATATGGGATTCACAACATTTTCTATGCAAAACAACTGTTTGAACTTTCTTTGGTTATCCTCTTCTCTTGAATGCTTTTGGGGGACTGTTTTTCCAAACGCGTCAGAGGGAAAGGGCAGAAGTGCTGGGGTCAAGGCTTAGAACTCATTCAAGACTGTAACTAGTGAATTTGTACAACCAAAGAGGTCTATTTTGTGGTTCAGGAATAATAAAAGTTTACTTTTCATTTAACAAGCTGATTCATTGCATTGTGTCTTTGTATTCTAGAATCTAGATGAATGTATTCTGTCCAAACTGATGAGGAATCTGACCCAAAAAGCCGCAGTGAACCCATTCCTTCTTGGCTCAGTGGAAGTTTCCTCCTTCATTCTTGTTATGAGGCTAGCACGAATGAGATTGTTTGGATGGTTAGAATCCAGATGTGGTTAATGTCTTCTTAGCTAAATGATTAGTGGGCAACAGTGACAGGTTAGAGTCGAATGGGGAAAAACCTTGTTATGTGGTAGGTAGGTTTGAGGGTGGTGCAGGGTGTAAAATGCGGGTTGCGATGCGACAGATCTCTGGTTCAAATCCCCAGCTGTCTTTGTTTCCTAACTAACTGTTTTCTTGTTTGGTAAACTAGCTTAAACACCCACACCAGTAGAAATCCACTTTTTCGAGCTGAAAGACAATGGCCAGAGTTTACCCATGACGTTGCACGACGATTTACAGTGCATTCAGAAAGTATTCACACCCCTTGACTTTTTTCACATTTTGTTACGTTAGTCTTATTCTAAAATTAATTAAATACATTATTTCCCTCATAAATCTACACACAATACCCCATGATGACAAAGCGATAACAGGTTTTAGAATCTTTAGTAAATTTATTACAAATAAAAAACTGAAACCTGATTTACATAAGTATTCAGACCCTTTGCTATCAGACTCAAAATTGAGCTCAGGTGCATCCTGTTTCCATTGATCATCCTTGAGATGTTTCTACAACTTGATTGGAGTCCACCTGTGGTAAATTCAATTGATTGGGCATGATTTGGAAAGGCACACACCTGTCTATATAAGGTCCCACAGTTGCATGTCAGTGCAATAACCAAGCCATGAAGTCGAAGGAATTGTCCGTAGAGCTCCGAGACAGGATTGTGTCGAGGCACAGATCTGGGGAAGGGTACCAAAACATTTCCGCAGCATTGAAGGTCCCCAAGAACACAGTGGCCTCCATCATTCTTAAATGGAAGAAGTTAGGAAGCACCAAGACTCTTCCTAGAGCTGGCCGCCCGGCCAAACTGAGCAATTGGGGAGAGGGCCAAGAACCCGATGGTCACTCTGACAGAGCTCCAGAGTTATTCTGTGGAGATGGGAGAACCTTCCAGAAGGACAACCATCTCTGCAGCACTCCACCAATCAGGCCTTTATGGTAGAGTGGTCAGACGGAAGCCACTCCTCAGTAAAAGATGACAGCCCGCTTGGAGTTAGCCAAAAGGCAGCTAAAGGACTCTGACCATGACAAACAAGATTCTCTGGTCTGATGAAACCGAGATTGAACTCTTTGGCCTGAATGCCAATAGTCACGTCTGGAGGAGACATGGCACCATCCCTATGGTGAAGCATGGTGGTGGCAGCATCATGCTGTGGGGATGTTTTTCAGCAGCAGGGACTGGGAGACTAGTCAGGATCAAGGCAAAGATTAACGGCGCAAAGTACAGAGAGATCCTTGATGAAAACCTGCTCAGGACCTCAGACTGGGGCGAAGGTTCGCCTTCCAACAGGACAACGACCCTAAGCACACAGCCAAGACAACGCAGGAGTGGCTTCAGGACAAGTCTCTGAATGTCCTTGAGTGGCCCAGCCAGAGCCCGGACTTGAACCTGATTGAACATCTCTGGAGAGACCTGAAAATAGCTGTGCCGCAACGCTCCCCATCCAACCTGACACAGCTTGAGAGGATCTGCAAAGAAGAATACACCCAAATACAGGTGTGCCAAGCTTGTAGACTCATACCCAAGATGACTCAATGCTGTAATCGCTGCCAAAGGTGCTTCAACAAGGTACTGAGTATTTCATTTTTTTTTATATATACATTTGCAAATATTTCTAAAAGCCTGTTTTTGCTTTGTCATTATGGGGTATTGTGTGTAGATTGAGGGAAAACTATTTAATCAATTTTAGAATAAGGCTGTAATGGAACAAAATGTGGAAAAAGTCAAGGGGTCTGAATACTTTCCGAAGGCACTGTATATCATTAATTTTTTTGTACAAAACATCCACATACAAATGACAACATACAGACGCACACAAACATCCACATCACCCCTGCCCGGACCCACCTGCTCACACCCCCATCTCCAGTGCCATCACTCTCCGCCACATAGCATCAAACTGCACCATGAACTTTCAACATTTAGATAATAAAGCATTTGGCCTTTCCATTGTGTTAAACAATGGAGGATTGGTTGATTTCCAGTTAAGTATATGTTTTTTCATGATTGACGAGAAAAGTATCGTCCAACCCATCGAGTTGCTCACTGCACCCTAATATGCCATGTCTTGAAATATGCAGACAGAAGGATTAAAAGTGAATTTACATTGTAATACTTCTGACAGCCAACATTCTAACTCCGCACATAACTTTTGGACTATAGCATTCCCAGAAGGCATGGATTATTGCGTCATTGTTCGTTTTACACTTAAGACATGACTCAGCCATTGTGCTGTAGAATTTGTGAATTTTGTCTCATGTAATAAATTCCGTACATTGGAACCAAGACAATTATAATATAATTCCAATTCAGACAGTCTACATTTCCATTTAAATTCCATTCCAAGGATGATTCGATTTTTCAATTTCAATTAAAGAAAGTCTCAAATCCAATATTGGAGGATTGCTGCAATTCCAATTCAATTCCAATTCAATTCCAAGTAAATTCTCTACTTCATGCTTGAATTCCAGAATTGAATTGGAATTCTAAGTTAAATTGGAATTGAACCCAACCCTAGAATCAAGTCTATTTCCGCCATTGCATGTGCATGTACCACAGCATCAGAAAATAGTAGCAGTGTAAAAATAAAGGGAGGGGGGGTCAATGCAAATTGTCCGGGTGGTCCTTTTAATGAATTGTTCAGCAGTCTTATGGCTTGGGGGTAGAAGCTGTTAAGGAGCCTTTTGGACCTACTTGGCGCTCCGGTACCGCTTGCAGAGAGAACAGTATGACTTGGGTGACTGGAGTCTTTGACATTTCTTGGGGCCTTCCTCTGACACCGCCTAGTATATAGATGGCAGGAAGCTTGGCCCTCCATTATAAGGAGGTGATTATTTAAAGGTAGAGTCAGCGAAATGATGTTGCACGATGAGCAGCGCCACAGATATTGCGATGAGCACGATGCAAGACTTTGCTCTCACACAGTCACACATAGTATCGGGACCAACACTGCAGACAAGTTCGCTCTTAGTTTTTGCGGAAATTGTTCCATTATGCTGTTTACTGTATGCATCCACATCATACCGCTGACTCTACCTTAACTACTAACTAGAGTGTAGTAAACTGAGCAATGCATACATATTCACCTCCTAACACACATTAACCACGCTTCCATCCACAGTTTTTATGCGAGTAAAGTCATACACTTAAAAAAAAAAAAATCATGACAGCTTTGATGGAAACAGGAAGTTTCGGTAAAAAAATTTAAATGCCGACAGAATTTGTTTGTTCAACATGGTGGGATCTTTTTGTGTCTGTAAAATTAATTATGTGAGAAATGGCGGTGGAAACGCCTTTATGCGCAAATATTGATATAATAACCATCATCTCGAAGTAAACTTGGAGACACGTGATGATATGGTGTGTGGTCCTCCAACTACGACTCAGGAAACCATGCAGTTTATTAGGCTATGCAGATTAAATAAATTATGATGAACTTCACATGGTGGTGAAAGTGCACGGTGATTAATAATAATAATATGCCATTTAGCAGACGCTTTTATCCAAAGCGACATACAGTCATACGTGCATACATTTTTGTGTATGGGTGGTCCCGGGGATCGAACCCACTACCTTGGCGTTACAAGCGCCGTGCTCTACCAGCTGAGCTACAGAGGACCACTTGATGCTCCTTTACCTTGGCGTTACAAGCGCTGTGCTCTACCAGCTGAGCTACAGAGGACCACTTGATGCTCCATTCCAATAAATATTGAGGGTCTTATTCTGGTGACATGATGATCGATGCTTGACTGCCATTTGACAAATAAAAATATCCATAATCTCATCATGTAGACTAGCCTACCCACACCGTATCTGCAAGATGTTGGCTAGAGCGCACGTGCAAGACCAGAGTAGGGACATTTGCTATTTAACCCTCCTGTTGTCCTGGGGTCATTCTGACCCCAAATTAAATCGTTTGCCGACAAAATATGTTTTTTATTCATCAATTGGTCTGAAAATAACGGTAGTTGTTTAATACTATGCTCTTTATGATTCAAACAAATTTGAAGTAATTTGATTGAATTATGGGTGTTTTACTAAATGTAATAACTTCTGTTGTCCTCTGGGGTCAAAAAGACCCCGCAGCACAAAGTTTACATACTGCTTGGCAAAACATCTTTGATCATGTTTCTTTGATGTGTGGGGTCAAGCAATGGTTATGACAACAACAACAACAAAAAAAGTATTTTCTCACAGGTGTTTGGGCATTTCACATTTTAGTCTGAGAGAGACAGGCAGCACAATGAGGAGGCAGAAGTTTTATAATGCACAGGAGGCTTGCAAGATAATTTTTGAAATAAAAGAAAATAATGACCAGGAGGACAATGCTGCACATAATGAGGATGAATCAACTGATGAAGAGGGTTCAGGGTCAGAAGAGGAGGAACATAATGATGAGGTGATAGATCCAACATACAGACAGCATGCTACTTCTTCCTCCGAAGATTCCCCCACATCTCCTGCTGCAGAAATGGAAGATGATTATGAATATAAGGAAATGGATGAACGTGATGATGACGTAGAATCTGAAGCTGGTATGGAAGAAGTGTCAGAAGTGGAGCACTGCACCTATTATGATGAAGAATCAACAGATGAGGTAGAATCTGAAGTTGAAATGGAAGAAGTGTCAGAAGTGGAGGACATCATCTATTATGATGAAGACGAAGAATCAACAGATGAGGTAGAATCTGAGGAAGAGGACCCAGCTGACCCTGAACCCTCTTCATCAGTTGATTCATCCTCATTATGTGCAGCATTGTCCT